AATTTAGCGCTTTGCCTGCGTCACGCTGCGCCGAAATTTTTAGTTAATTTTGTGAGGCGGTTATAGACGCGACCTAGGGAACCGAAGTCTGAAGTTAATTATTTGTGACATTTTGAATAAAATTAAAAAAATTTATAAAAGAAACCCTTACGTCGAAAGGAACAGTTTTTAAAAAAATCAGAAAAGTTTTGTTCTCTAGACTATTTATTATATTATTAAGGAAAAAATGATCTCTTTGTTTAACTTTGACAAATCGAACGGTTTCGAAGTTATTAGTTCTCGTCGGTAGGTATGAGTCGTCAGTTTGGATGTCTATCTCCAGAATATGGATGAGATATAACCTCAAAATGATATGTCATGTCATGTATTTAAATGTCATTGTGACATTTTGATGCATATGCTATAAATATTGAGAAATTTATTTTTACGTACAAATAAATGCTCTTAGCTTGGATTTCCAAGAATACCTTTTTTCTTTTAAGTAGTCTAGGAATCAATATTTCTTCAAAAAAGAAATAATATAAATGGTGCAAATATAAAACAGTTGGAGATGACATAGAGACAATTTGTTTTATGTAAATTCAGGGTGTTAGAAGTTTTACTGCCTTAACTTTAACAGACGTAGAATACATTAAAATAAACAAAAAAAAAAACTCATATAACATGGGTCCTAACTCAACCATTTCCGAGAAAAAAATTATCAAAATCTCCAACTTGATGTCCAAAAGTTCGTTTAATTAAAGAATATTGACATAACTGCGTGTATAGAATAGCATAAAATACAATGTTTATCACTTTTTTTAACTTGTTTATGCTTAATTCCAAAAAATAATTAGCGTTGTAATAAATTTAAAATTCGATAAAAGTCATATTGAGCAATGTGGCGCGGCGACACAAGGTACTGAGCTGTCCAGCATTACGCAATTCAGTTGGTATCTGGAATTGGACCGTGTTTGAGTGTTTTTTGCGTACAACTATTTCCTTTTCTCGAGGTGTTTTCCAGTGAATGCGCGAAAATTGGATTCGAAGGTGTCGTGCGTGCATCGAAAATGGTTATGGACATTTTGAGCATATGTTGTAGTTTGTTTTGTACTTGTGCGTTTAAAAATTACTGAATTTTGCTTTTTACTTAAAACTTCCCAATATTACTACTGGCTGTATTTTACAAACTTACGCCCCTGTAATATACAACTTTTTTGTACGTTTATAATTACTTCTATCTCATGCTGAAGTAAAAAAAACTTCTTACAGCCTGTATAGACAATATTTAAAAATGAGTATTTATTGATTTTATTTTTAAAATGGAGGAATTTGCAATCCATTATTTCAACAGATGATGTGACGTCATAAAAAGGCGGGAAATTTTAAATTTGAACATATCTCATTTGTAATTTTATCATATTGGCATTGGAAAAACTACAAAGTATTCAAGTTGCAGCCCATTTTTTAGTGAAGAAAATGTACCTAATTATAACAACTAATGAGTTTGATATCGGTCTATGTCTGATGATTCTGTATACTAGATATTGCGGATGTAATTCTATACTTGACAAAACTGTAGCTAAAAGGTAGTTGTTCCCCACAATATCTTTACTCAAAAAGTGTCAATGTCTTCTTCTTTCTTCATTTTGTGTGTACTAATAGATATAGATACCTACTCTTTCTATGAAAGTTTCTTTGACGTCAAAAAGGTCTCCATACAATTGTCATTGTTTTTTGTTTCCATCATCATCTGTCAATAGTGTTTTGGTAAATTAAGTATATTAGGTTTTAAAAGTTTTGGAAGCTTTTGAATCCTGCGATTAGAAAGATTCCCTCCTTGATAGCTTCTTGGCTCATCGACACTATCGACTAACGATAGGCGTGACCTTCTCGTACCTGCCATCTCCCCAGTGGCCAGTCCCTGACCAGGTGCGTATTAGGCCCCGCCTCTTACCTGATTTGTTACCTGTCGCCTCGGATCAGCCGGCGCGATACGTGTAGATATCTTGATTTTCTCGTGACTTCTCTTCTTGGTCGTTCAATTGACAGCCGGTTTAATTGGAGCGAATTAATTAGGACCAAACCAACCGAGAATCTGTGCTAGTAGGTTTTACACTGTATCTGTCAATATGATTAAATTATTGAAAATGTATGGATAAGTAATATGTTGCCTCATCCAGACACATGAGAATTATTCGATTTGTAACAGTAGTATCATTGAAAATTAACAGTAAACCAATTTCATTTGAGCCCTGAGTCTTTTTATTTAACTCAAGTGAAATTTGTTGAATTCTATTTCCGCGAGAAGAATATTTCAAGAAACGTTAATTATACCATTGAGTATGTGAAACGATGGAAAGAGTTGTTATTCTTAATGCTACTATGCATTTAGTCATAGGTTTAGCTTAGACCGTCCAAAGCGCGTTTCGGTCGATGCTGTCAAATCTAACGACGGCTTAAACCCTTCTAAAGTTGTGGGCAAAAGCTAGTACTATGTATACATTTTTTGTCAACTATATTCTACCTTTACTTATAATAAATGCACGGACTATATTATTTAACTTTAACTAATTAATTAATTGCACTCACTAGTAAATATGACTACTTTAAAATTATGTAACCTTGTTTACAACCTGGTGTATATATGGTTGCAGATACACGCGGATTAAATTTAAATTATAATTTGTTGGGATTTTGATGGGATGTTTGTTCATATTTTATTTTATATTCGTATCTTAATATAAACATATCATTATTTTTTTTGCATTTTCAAATTTTAATTCAACGTGAAGAATAGCGACAGAAAGTGTTTCATATTTGAAAATATTAAATTAAGTTTTTTACCCTACAAAAGAATTCGAAACAGAGTACTGGGAATTATATTTTTTCTTCCTAAATCGTAAAGTCTGAACTGACCGGCCCAATAACAATTTTCAGTGGTTAAGCCGTATCCATTACGGCCTTCGCTAATGAATACAGCTTACAGCAATCTCCCATCTCACGACGAAGAAATATGTATGCATTATGTAAATCACGTAGACGCTGGAGCTAGCCGGGGTCAAAGTAGGCCTAGAGAGGACAGTCGTCGGTCGCGTTCCGAGAGCTCCCGGATTAGATGATATCTCAATTTAACCGCTTCTGTGACGCGTAGGCCGTGGAGGAACTGGTTTACATTACGATTATTGCGGCAGCCACACTCGGCAACTCGATATTATTATGCTGGATGTGCGTTTGTTCTTTTCCCTTGCGCGCGAGATCTTCATGCTCGAGTCTTATCTAGTTGGCCGCGCTCGGAATGCCTACCGACTTCATCTAGGTTGGCTTTGAATCTCGAAGAACGGTGAGAGATTCGAGATGGAGATCCAGATAGGCGGTTCTGGTCGGGTATACGCCCGGTCGTGCCATCTGTTGTGTCGTGGAGGTGACGCTGATTGCATCCTTAAATAAAACGAATGGGGGTTAACGTGCATGCCATTTCCAATTTTTATCAGATGTACTTCGTTCCTGGCATTGTGGCAGTGCTTTGTTCTTCCTGTTTGGCCTCAATGTAAAGAAATCTAATCTAAGTGTAAATAATAGGGATTTGCGTTTAGAGATTTGTATTAAGTTAACAGAAATGTAAGGAGGTATCAAGTAAAAGTATATTTAAATTTAAAGATGCCTGTGTATTAAAGTGGCAGAAGAGTAAAGAGGTATTTTCCTAAGAAAATATCTAGAAAACAATGATTTAAATTTTATTTCAATTTGTTTCTGAATTTTTGCTTTAAAACCAGTTGAAGACTGCGAGCGCGGGCAAACGAAATACAAATACAGTTGCATTGGGCCACTAGGCAATAAATCTCAGCCGTTGACAAGTGGTCGACAAATTGCCCAGCAGTGCAGTGCAGCAATGCGGAATTTGGTAGGATTCAGGTAATTTTAATTTATTATAGGTACCTTCTATTAATCATTGATATTACAATTGCGAAAGGGAGAAATAATATTATTACAACATGGCATTTTGGAGGCCTTTTGAAACGGAACAAAACGAAAATTACAATCAATATAATAAAATTGTTTGAGAACATAAGTAGTTAAAATATGTTGTTGGCCAAATGAACATATAATAGAAATTTTCTGTACATTATATTATTAAATTATTATTAAATTTTATAGTTAGGCGTTTTTTTACATGTTCAACTGACTCCGAAAAAACTATACCATTGACTGAAAATTTCCACCAAAGTGCTCAAAGAAGCTTCCAAATGCTCCAGAGAGGCCAGTTGTACAAACCCCCGACAGGCTTCGCTGGATCTACGAAGGAAGGTGATCAAACATCGACCCTAGTGACTTGCAGTGCACTAACCAGAATCCGAACCTGACCAGTACTTCTAGGATAACTCAAAATTTAAAGCCCTGTTAGAATCATGTCCGTACTATTTCAAAACAGTGTTAACAATTTCAAAAAAATTTGGGAGCACAGCTTCCGGCCTAGACCTTAATTCTAGAGCCCCAACCACCCAGACCTTGTTTAATATTGCAATGAACGTCCCCACCTAGAAGCTTCCAAAACCATAGATCCTCTCAGGCCTACACACTCCCGGAAGCTTCCAAAATGGTGCGTGTCAATTTTTACGGAAAATAAAATTTTAAATCATATGACACATTGTAAATCTAAACCCATAGATAAGAGAAGTCTAACCTCAAAACAATTGTCATAAAATAAAAGTGAGAAATCGCGACTAGCGTCCTCTAGCAGAAAATGAAAAACTAACAGCACTAATTTACGTGTACCAAATTTCAGCCCAATATATTAGTTTTGCAACAGATTAGATAAAAATTTGTTTTAAGAAAGTCTTTAGTGCCTTTATATCACAAAATTTGATTTATTGTGCGTTGTTTTAAAATTTACTGTTTCTAATTTATAAATATTAGAACCAAAGAGATTTTTGAATGTATAGTGCAGAAATCTGTTATTAATTCAAAACTGAATGTTTATCGACATCACTAAATTCATATGTATTGTAATAAAAAGCAAATTTCTTGTATAAAACATTTATTCAAATTATTTGTGATAGGAAACTAATCTAAACATAAACAAAAGGTATTATCACTTTATCACTTATTATATTTGGCGTAAAACAATTGATCACAACTATGGGGCCATAATCCCTAGGAAATTTATAAAATTATATGTGTAGTAAAAGCGTAATATCAAACATCTTTTGAATTTTAAATTTTGGGCAAACCAGCCACTATGGAACTTTCGATTCCAAGGTGATCTTGGCCTCTTAGAATCTTAAACGTGCCGTTATCGCCCCAATCGGAGTTCCAGGAGTTGGCGATGAGCCAGTATGGGGTATTGTCCTCCACACCCCAACCTAGGATACGGATAGCGTGTCCCCCTAGTTCCTTTCCTGTCACGTGTTTGTAAACGCCTAAAAATCAAAGTCACTGTGTACATTTCTGCAGTATGCCGTATGTGTCGATTTGTTATTTTCACGGACGGCGTTTTTCTTTGAAGTTTAAATAATATTTACATGGTTCATTCAATTCGCAGTTTATGCGATTAGTGAAATGGTAGATATTTTAAAAAGCAGAAATATTCCAGATGAAATGAATTGATAAATAGGTCAAAAACCAACATCTGACATATTTGGTATACATTTGATACAAATTAAAAAAATATATTACCTATATGTTCTACACAGTAAACTGTACAGCTGTTAAAACTATACCGGAACCAATTATACTGAATGCGGGGTACATACCACTCTTGTAATGTAGCAAATCCTCGTAAACGGTGAAAGCCGCCTCTACCGGACCATTGTTCTGGATTTCCGTCTGGATCTCGGTCACTTTACTGGATATCGAGTACGCCTTCTGACCAAAGTTCTTGTCTTTGGCGTAGGGAACGTTATACCCGCTTTCACACTGCTTAATACACTTAGGAGTCTTCCCTTCATCTCCGTTACAAGAAGGCCTTGTTCCGTTGACGTGGTGTTCACACGGAGGAATTTCATAAGGCCTGCATCCCTAAAAAAACATGGAAATTTGAAAATTAATTTAATCAAAACGGGAAATCTTGTAACGGTACCTGGTGGGATCCATATGTACCTCCAGAAACGATTCCCTTTCTGACCCAGTAGTGCCAGGCCGCACCAGGAAAACCTCCGTTACAGCCCATGCCGCAGGTCCAGCAACAAGACACCAGGTCGTCGGAAGACAGTCTGACGTTGACGGTGGCGTTGGAATGGATACAGACCCTGTCAGACATGGATTCGACTGCACCAAAGGCCTGAAATTGGATAAGTCTCTTTAACGGAGCTTGATCACTTGGATTATAAGATTATGTCGCTGCGTACGTGACGTCACTTCAGTGGTGATAGTCACCCGGTGAAAGTTGTATCGTCGCGTAAGAAAAAACATACATATGATCCCTATTCGATTAAGTTTTATTGTAAACACAGATCACGCAGTACAATGCACAATTGCTAAAAATCATATTTTATGATAATAATTTATCTTGAAATTGGGCAGAAATTATGAAATTAAGTTTAAAAACATTAAAAATAAAATAGATGTTATACAGTTGTTACGATCTCAATTGGAACCGCATAAAAACATTTAACTCATAAATTCTACGGAATCCATAGACGTCCAGAAAAATTTGGCCCTGTCTCGTCTAGATATACTATATTCCAAGCTATATTACCATATAATTACCATACGATTGTCAAGTTTTTTATGTTTAAAATCGCATTGTAATAAAGCATGTCGCAAAATATCTAAAGATTTATAAATATAATCAAAATAATCGCTTAATTTATCTCGAATCATGTTTAAATAGGAACTTTATTTTCTTTATACATATCATAAATTGTGCGTTGCAGTACATCTGGTTAATCGTCAATTTTCTTTAATTTTGTATTTTTACGTTTCCTGTTTGTACTGTGATCGATCATTCTTTAATTACGCGATAAATTGTCGTTTTTGATATCTTAATTAATTCGTTAATCCGTTTTCTAACTTTTTTATCACATTGTTCACTATTTTCAATTTTCAAACATTCATATATTTAATATAATACATTGACTTTGTACGTGTACGAGTAAATCTTTGTTTTTAAACTCTCAGTTTCTTTCGATGCTTTCGACAAAAACCGGTTCCACTATTTGGGGATTTTAACATACCCCGCCAAGCAATGCTCTACACTGCACTGGCCAAGCGGCAAAGCTAAGTGAACCCGTGTACCATACAAAAGAATTATTTACGACCTAGTGGACCAATACAGATTTGCATTGATGACCAGCGCGCCGCCGTCGATTCGACATCAGGCGGACTACCGGACTCGCCGAATTGCTATTCGAGTATAAATTACGAGACACATCATGGTCAAAGCATAGGAACAAATTTCAGAAGTGCATACGGTCCTGTGCTTTACGATTTACAGGTTACAATTAACATCGTAACAACTATACAAAATTGGATATAAAAAATAAAGTAGAAGTGTAAAGATACGAAGTAACCTTGAACAGTTTTATTTAAAAATGTATGCATTGTCCAGTACTTATCATTTCATATCGTCATGAAAATCATGTGATTCCCTCAAAGTTTTTAGTGAATCCCACTGATATAAAATACTACGGAATTTCTAATGCTTAAAAATGTATAGGTATATTATTTATTAGAAATGATTTCCATCACTCCAAATACATATAAGTAAATATACAGGGTGTTCCCCACGTTTTAATCGGAAAATTTCCCCAGGTGATAAAAAAAATATTTTTAGTAAAGATTCATATGAACTTGGGTCACAAAACACTTTGTTTTCGAGACACGAGGTGTTGGAATTAGAAAGAAATATAACTTTTTCGGGAATATATTTGATGCTTAACTTAGTTTGAGAAACTTAGGCCACTAATTTATCTACTTAGAGTAAAGGGAGAATACTTGACTTATAAATATATTAACCAGTGGCGGAGATATGAAATTCGATTTGTTCCGGATCGCAAAATAAAAATACAAAAAATGTTTTTTTTCCTTAAAATTAAAAACAGTAAAATACTTAATGGCGTTGGTTGAAATTGTGATGCTGACCTCTAATTAGATATATTCTTAATCCAAGTTTTATTATTGATGTTAAAAATTTTCAGGGACATCTGAGGAGCCGTAACAAATTTGTTTAAATCTGGACAACCTTGTATTTTAAAAATTTTGAGGTAACCACAGTTTTTTCAGTGAGTAATTCACAGAAAGCGTGATTCATTTCGATTATATAAAAACGTTTAAATTCGTGACTAATCGTGAAATAATTTATTTTATTAATGTTTAAGGTGTATCGAATTAGTTTTTAACAAACTTCAATACTGCAATTTGATAAAATTTTTGATTGCTACGCATTATTTACAATTACATACATAAATAACATGGTTGCCAAATTATTTTTATACTGCTTTTGTTGTTAAAATTTTAAAGAATGTAGAAATGCTAATTTTGCTCTGTACATCATAACAATATTTTATTTTCACAATACTCTAATGACGCTTTAAGAATAACAAAATAAACAGCGTTTTTATCAACAAAGTCACTCACCCAGCACGATCCGCACGACCCTTGATCCCTTATCTCCCTTATAGTGGGACAATGAGACCACTCTTCCCTAGCGTCGAACTGTTGAGGTATATAGGTGGCTTCGATGCTCTCTTCTTTCATAGGGGGCAAGTAATTCTTATGATCGGGCAGCACCCCCATAAGTTTTCTGATATAAGACATGTCCAGGTCCTCCCTGAAGTTCCTGCCTGCCCTCCATGTGGATTGTTTCCTGTTTATGGACTCGATGAATTCGTCTGAGAGAGGATGGAAACGCGGTTCAGGATCAATTGAAAAGCTTAAGGAAATTGCTATTGTAAATGTTGCTAAAAATAACAGGGGCGCCATGGTCACAACCTAGAAATTGAGAATTTTCGGTATATTGTTCGCAGTATTGGAAATTTAAACTAATATCTAAGAATATGAGGATTGAAAAAAGTGTTCATATTTATTGATATGATCGTTCGTTTTATTACTTTCAAAAAGAAAAATTGAAAATGTAGATATGGATAAGAACATTTTTAGAGATTCTGGTGAAAGTAATTGATAATAATTTAAATAATACCAACAGATCTAAGTGTATGAAATGAAAAGGAACTGCACTAAGTATATAACAAAGAAAAATATGATGCACAAACTTACGCAATTGATTTGTTTTCGAACACTGCTTTTTAAAAGCTAACAACACCAAATGAAGAATCACAAAAAGCTGATTATTTTATATTTGCCACCGATAACACAAATATCAGCTGAACACTGAATTGATAAACAAGCAATCAAAGTCAAAACACAAAACACATGATTTGCTTACTCATAACCTGCCTGCTACATAGTTGCCATATTGCAAGCATTGAAATTACTAATTTGTAGTTCATTAGTTAATTAAAAACAAATATCCATAGTAAATAAATATTTACTTATATATCAACTGCGCTATAGATATAGATTTCACAGTTTTCAAGAAAGCAATGAATGTATAATACACATTTATATGAAGGAAAATAGGCAATATTGCGTAAACTTTCTGAAATTTAAAATAATTTCCTTTTAATGCGACTGATAGAGATCCTTATCGTTTGGTAGTCACACTAATGGTTCCGGTTTGTTAGAAAGCTGTCGTAATAATATATCTTGAAGGTTTAAAATAGAGTTGATTCATCTATTACTCAATAGGTGGCAGCTGTATTTAAAACTGCAATAAAGCGCCTCTAAAACTGCAAAACCATATAAATAGAAAGTGTAAAAGTCATTTTATACGGTCAGTTCATTAGTGTTACAAAAAGTAGCTTTAAACTATAAAAACACAGACTATAATAATGACTGCAGTAAGAAAACTGAATCCATTTTCTCCTGGAACTTTAAAGACATGCAATAAGTATACATTTTTTTAGCAAATAAAGTGACGTTTCAAGAAACATTGATTTATCGAAGTCTCTACAAAAGAGGTACGACAAAAATAAAAGAGTGTTTAAAGGTTTCCTAAAATGTTTAAAACCGAAGCATATGAAAAAAACAAAACTGTACCGGTTGTATTGATTTCTTTTCACCCAAGGAAACTACCTTTGAGGCATGGCCCATAAGCTTCCAGACACCCTGTAGATTGTTGTTTATATTGTGAAAGAAGCTCCCAAATGTCATAAATTTTAATTCATCTTCCCAAGCTATACACCGCTGGTCAAGAAGAATAAAAATTTTCACTGTTCTTTCGAATTCTACCGCCGGCGATGTCAACGGAATCCGAAACTCCTTCGGAAACACCGAGTCAAAACAGAGTTGAAAATCAAGAAAATCAAATAATTTTTTGGAAAATTTAGCAGAAATTCATAGAAACCGCTCAGTGACCACCAAACACATTGGTGCTAGGTAGCTGAAACCAAAAGGCAAGTCACCTCCGATGAAGTATTAAAATCGGCCTAGGAAGAACAAAAATGTCTCCAGTCCAAAAACACCTGAAATTCAAAGAGGAGAATCTGGCGGAGCCATCAAAAGGTGCGATTGAACATCGACCCTCGTTACCCGCATATCATTTTTTGGCTAGTTTCGATCAAAACTAAACTGTATGTACTTTTTAAAAACTGGGGGGGGAGGGTAAGGAATAAAACACCGTCTGTTGAAAATACACTGTATATAATGTGCTATTGACATAACTTTACAATAAATGTAAGCGTATTTATGAAGATCCTCCACTCTGTAAAGATAAATGATGACTGGTTCGTGCAAATGTACAGTATATTACTGAAAAAGTCTAAGTCGTACAATTTTAAATACGTTATTAACCTAGAGGGTAATTGTTCTAACAATATCTTGTAAATAACATCTCATATCTATATATAAGCAAAACTCTGAAACTATGAAACAATATATGTACAACATACCAGTAGAATATTTATTATAAAAAGTATTTCGGATATATGTACGTTATTTTTTTTTGTATAATATCCTCAAATAAAGCAATAGTACCAAAGCATCTTGGTCTTAAAGTGTATTCGAAATCCTCCTCGACTTCACCCTAGAAAAATATATGCTCCACTTATTTTAGATATGTTTAATAAGTGTCCCTACATCGCGAAATATTGGACCACACCGCAGTCTTTATCTAATGTAAGAGTTACAGCTCGTAGCGCTAGGCTAGACATCACACATCGAGTATGAGTGACTTCGATATGTACACAAACTAGCAACTGGACGGTTTACACTACAATCTACTAAAGCAAACCTAAGTTTTCGTCGAGTATTCTTTTAATCGGTGAAGAAGAAATTCTCTTAAAGCTCCAGTAGCAATGACGTCAGCGTTCTGATCCCGGCACGTCTCAAAAATGGAAAACCAAAAAAAAAGGACTCCGATCCTCGTAACAACTAAATTTTTTGGTGCGACTGGAATGCGTGTTAGTTTGTTTCGCTTTTGAGTTTACTTATGAGTATCGTACAAAAAAAGACTGTGCTGCCAAAAGTGGAAAAATACGGCACAGAGAAAGTGCGCCTGCGTACAGCGTGGCATATTTTAAATTACCTCACAGTAACTTCTTATTATATTTTCCAAGGCGTAAGGTGTTATTCATTATTATCTACATCTATGAATGGTCAATGTTACTCAATACCTCTTCAAATTGACAGAGAGTGACCTGCTATTTCACAGGTACTTCGGGGGAACAATTACTCTGAGGACTAATGCTTCAACCAGCATTGAATTATACTCACATTTTATCTAAAAAACAGCTGGGATCGTTCGTCAGTAAAACCACCAGACATGTACCGGTTTTGAACCTGTTGGTTCTTATCAGTAAGCTTTTGGTGTGATGTAATAATAATGCTATCTGTTACATCTCACCAATATTCACTGCGTGTCCGGAGTTAAGATACATCTATGGTATACTGATGAGAGCTGATCGAAACCAGTATATGTCTGGTGGTTCTGCTGACGAATGATTCTAACTGTTTACTCAGTTTAAAATGTTATGCTATTTTATTGTGTACTTATTGCCAAAATACCGATGTTTTGTTAAACAAATTTGAATCTACCTTATTTCATATTATCTTGGGCTAAGAACGCAACCAGCAACGCATACAAATTTGAGCGGGTCATTTAATATACGCCGTGCGCTGTACTCCGTACATTATTTATTTCAGATATTTTATTTACAATAGCTAAAGATCGAGAGAACCACAGTTAAAACTAACTACAATATTTGATCCCGCATTCAACATACCTGAACGAATTTTACTGATAAGCTACACTAAGGACCGTGGAAGAAACGGTTGATACCATTATTTACAAACCAATTTACGGATGGGTTCCTCTATTGAGCTAAGCGGTTTCAATTTGGGGGGGTCTTTGAAAACACATGCACAATTTTTGTTCCAATTGGTGCAATTTTTCACGACATTTTATTCAACTAATCTGCAATCGTATTATGTCAATCAATAAAATTAATGACGCTAAGATTTAGGGATTTTTTACTTGACAGTAAATCAGTGATAGTAGTACATATTGCGCCATCTACTATTCAGCTCCATAAATATAACACGTCATCTGTTGTTCACAAACTTCATTAAGGTTTTTGTTTCTAACATTCGTCTGCAAATTAACTGACGTTTTGGGAAAATTCATGGATGTGTTCTCAAATTCTATTACGGGTGGGTGGCATGGTAAAAAGGGGGGGGGCCGACTACGCATTACGGAAAATTTGGCTAGACCGGTCGATACGCGCCCGGCAAGAGATTAAATTTATCAGTCTAAGGTTCTGATAGAAAGTTCATAAGGCCAATAATGGTAAGAACTAGCTCTGCGCTATACGAAACCAGATACTATCGATATGTTCGATGTGGGACTTTATTCGAGACCGCGCTGTATATTGGTTTTATATAATCAGCAGTTCTACTTTAGTTTTCATTACGGAAACTTCTTCTTTTGTTGTTCAAGGTTTAAAGCAAATTGGTGAATAAATGTTTGTCATTTATTTTTTTTGGATTCCTCTGTTTATTTATTTTATGACAAAAGTATTTCATTGACATTTGCAGTACCTGTTATCTTTCTTCAGTCACATCATAAATATTTTTCTTGGAAATTTGCTGTTGATAAAGTTTTGAGAATACATAATACTTTGGTACAGATTATATACCATACATTTCGAAATCGGCATGCCGATGTCAAATCCAAGGTCACCAGATGGTGGTCCAAAATGACCCAAACAACTTTTGTACAGGTCACTTTCCCGATATTTCGCTATTCCGACGAGATACCAACCTGAGAAGTTCGAAAGGATGATCCGACCTTCAAATGATCTTGAAAATGAAAAAAATAACTCGACTACGTCCTTGACTGTAAAATTTCTTGCTCTTTCAGAATTCGGGGTCAGAAATTGTATTATCATAAAAAAAAACAAGAATTGACTTTCGAATAACCTTGAACACGACCTTCTTAAAAATTAGTCAGTCACGCTTCTGAACGTAAAATTTCTCTCGAAATTCTCAGGTTGGTATCTTATTCAGGAGAGCGAGATAGGCCCACCAAATGGTAACCTGATTTGATCTTGAAGGTCATTTTGATAAAAACTACTAGAATCATCTCTAACACAGTGGGATGATGATTTTTATCCATCAAATCGATGGCGACGATAGACTTCTTACTAGCCTTGGCATAATTGGTTTCACAGTGAAACCTTTGAAGAGTTAACCTTCAAATAACCTTGAACCTTGAAAAAATAAATCAACCACTGAATCGAACGTAGAATTTCTCGTTCTTTTAGATTCCAGGGTCAAAAATTTTACCATAAAAGAATAGTTAACCTTGAAATAACCTTGAACCCGAGCTAATTTCGTCAAACGGATTCAGCGACCCCAAAACGGTATGAGCGTGATCTAGTTTATATTTAGTATGAACCCCACGATACCAAAATACAGCGAAATCATCGAAAAACCGCCCCACATCTCCAACGAACAGTATCCGACGAAACTACTTGCTACCGCAGAGCGACTACTGTGGAAGCGAGGATGTTCAGAGCCACTTGTTCCTCAAGCTGCCCGTTCTCCTCCCCCACATTAGGTTGTATCATACGATCGTCCCCTGGAGCTGCTGGGGGTCCGTCGGCGCACCCGTCGGAGGCAACGCCGTCTGCTGAGAGGCCGGCCCGCCCTCCCCGTACGGCACGCTGAGTCCAAGGTTGAGCGGCTGAGGCAGGGAACTGCTGGAGCTAGGCAGACCGCTCTGCGCCAGACTCAAAGTGCTGCCCGTCAGGTGCAGTGAGGGGTTCACCACTGGCGCGGTATTGCTCGAGATCACCGGCGGGCTGTTCTCCTCCGGGGGAGTCACTTCCAAGCCTATGCTTCCGTTCAGCGCGATCTTTATGGGGTTGTTGTAGTTCGTGGAGAAGTGAGACAGTCCTATGTCCTCGAGACTGCTCTTCCTCCTGGCGCTGCCGATGTTGGTGAGTCCTTGCCTCAGCGAGTTCGATCTGCGCAGAAGGATGTCGTCTATGACGCGCAAGGAGTTGGATCTGCCCCTCTGATAGCCCGCCACCGTCGGGCTGTCCGGTAAGGAGAGGGAATTGGACTTGGTTGTGGCTAGAGGCGGCGGTCGCGGCGACTGGTACCCCGACAGGCCCAGACCCGAACCCCTGCGGCTCGCCGCTTGGGAACTGGACGCCATCTGTTGGATCAGCGTCTGAGAGCAGAAACTGATATTTGACTTGCGTCGGCTGTTGTGTCGTTCGAAGGTCTTTTGTGCTGAGAACGGACTCGGACGAACAAGGTAGCTGTGAAATACAAATGAAATTGAAGAAGCAAACGTTTCATCAGTCGGAGTTTACTCACATGATGTCGCCCTCTTCCAATTTGAGATCGCAACTGGGATTGATGATGACGTAGGACAGGCTGTTGCGTTTCTCGCTGACGTCGTTGTAGTCGATGGTGGGTAGGTTGAGGCTCTCCATCCTGGACCGCACCAGGTTGGCGATTTCGGCCCTCTCGATCTGCTGGTCGTGGTTGTCCTTGGCCTCGTCGCCCATGTTGATTGAATACTAAAAGGCCAAAAATTCAATAAAGAAAGACATTTTTGTATGTTTGAAATCATAAATCGCAAGATGAAGACATAACAAATCAAGTAATGTTGTAATAGCTTTTGTAGTGGTCCTTACCTTTAATATAAATGCGGTTAATGTTAATTTTTTGCTTACTGTTTTACAGAAATCGCTATTTTCACGGTTTCATTTGTATACATCTAAAATTTATCATTGAAAAACAAAGGAACTTTAACGAAAAGCGGATTTAATGTTGTGATTTTTATCAATTTGTGAATCCATGTGAAAACCAGCATGCTCAAATCTTAAATTGTATAAAATATCATTAATTCAACTTTTTGAGAATTATTATAAATTATACGGATATGTCCTTTGAAAAGCACGAGAAAATTTTCTATCTTTGGTCTTACCATTTCTCTTTAAGTCTGAAAGTAAAAGAAATAAAGGAGATTTTATGTGAATATCTATGTACATAGGTATACAGGGTGTTAGAAGTTTGACTGCCTTAATTTACAGACGATAGAATACTGTAAAATAAATAAAAAAAATTTTATATGATATGGGTCCTAAACTCAACCATTTCCGAGAAAAAAATTATCAAAATCGAATTCGATGTACAAAAGTTCAAATAATTAAGGAATATTGGCATATCTGCGTGCATATAAGAGCATAAAATATAATGTTTATCACTTTTTTGAACTTCTCTATGCTTAATTCTAAAAAATAATTAGCGCTGTAATAAATTTAAAATTCCATAAAATTCATATCGAGCAATGCGACAACGGCGCGGCGGTTAACACGAGGTATTAACCTGTCCAGCAATATGCAATTCAGTTGCTATCTGGAATTGGACCGTGTCTTGAGTGTTTTTACGTACCACTTAGTATTTCCTTTTTTTTTGAGGTGTTTTCCAGTGAATGCGCGAAAATTGGATTCGAAGGTGTCGTGCGTGTATCGAAAATCGTGGTGAACATTTTGAGCATATGTTGTAGTTTGTTTCCATTTTTTCCATAGGACAAGTCTGCCGCGTGCACACGTGGTATGCACCAGCTGTGTAGCGTTAGGTTAAGCGATGTTGTCAAGTTGTGATGAAGCTCCCCAATATTAGTAGGTACTCGCTGTATTTTGAAAACTGTTAATTTTACGCCCCTGTAATAGACAACTTTTTTGTTCATTTATGATTACTCTATCTTGTGCTGAAGTAATTACAGTCAAACTTCTTACACCCTGTATACTTTTAATTTTACTTATTAGATCATTCGCTTACTGCGACGAATTTTCATTTTCCCTTGAATGTCGTTATAACCCAACTCCTTTATACATCTATATTTGGAAAAAAGTACCAAAATTTGACGATCGAAATAGAAAACAAAACCAAAAATGAATCAGTTGTTACTTTTCGCTTTTCTCTCGTTACAAGTGATTGTCATTCGTCTCACTTACGCCACCTGAATAGTAGAATAGAGACGCATGCCCGTGAACGTAGAGCAGGTTTCACTTGACCACGTGACTAATTCGATCGATGCAACTATAACTAGTTTTCCCTATAGGAAGTCAGCCATAGCTCTGCTCTAAGTTAGGTAAAGTACTTTGCAATAGTATAGGATGCATATACGAGACAAAGCTTGTACGTCCTAGGTCACCCTCAAATAATTTAATTCGTAAAGCCGACCGCACACCAAAAGTTTTGCTTTGCTAGACTATTCTTAGACGTAACATTTCGAAAACAAAAAAAACTATAAAAATTGGAAGAAACGTCTTTCGACATGCGGCTGTATTGTTGGAAGCAAAATTTTTTCCGAACTTTTCACCGTCACCGGTGACAACAGTTTTTCAATTGTGTACTTTCTCCCGAAGGTAACCTAAGACGTATCGGTGCCCGGGAGAAGAACACTCACCATGGAGCTGCGCCTGTTCGAGCATCCCAGGCAGTTGGTGCCATCCTTCGGCCGGTAAGTGACCCCTACTCTATCCGGTCCCAGATCCTCGTCAAGCTAGCGGAAAAGGAAGCCCCACAAACTAAGTACGTGCAACTACTTTCGCTCGTTAGGTTAGAATGCAATCAGTTTAGGTTAGGGGAGGGTATCACGACGGGAACTGCACGTACGTTTCGCGTTTGTCCCGAGAAAAACGTTTTTAATAAGGCTGTAAAAATCGGAAATATCCTATGTGGACTCCAAAGGATATCTAATTATTTTCAAATGTAAAACTATTTCTTTGTTGATTTTTGTATACGCATAGATAATAAGGTATAAATCTTAGTATCTTTATCTCAGGAGTCTGGTCGAACGGTGTAAACCTTTTTGGGACACAGCGTATAGAAAAATGGCTCAAGTATTTTGTTTCTTTTTTTTTGTGTTGTATTTCTTGTCAAAGGAATATTTAAATTTAAATATCTCGACTTCGTCGAGTCAATTGAGCTGTTCCCATCGTAATATCCTAATTAGAAACATTGGAAATTCTAAATAGGATCAGGGGATTAGTGACTTAGTTATTATAAACAGGGGTTAATGAGCGATCGATACCAGTGAATGTAAACGAGGCATCAATAATTAAATAGCTAGGGTTTGTTACAAAGCGCCTCAAATTTTAATTTGTTAATACATCTAAGGGAAACTAAAAAGTTTAACATTTTCGTGTAGTCTAGTAGACTCAAATCTGGTACACTTGATGGCTGATAGCGTGACTAGCCTCAGAAAACAAAAATTCCAAAATGTATTCGAGTCACTTTATATAAAAAATATTCGTTTTATGAGACTGCTACGTTAAAATATGAGACACATTTATAGCCTGCGATATACAGGTATGTCTAGAAACATGATAGGAACATCTTTGATTTGTATTTCCACTGAAACTTACTCTGAACTTTTTGATCAAAATGAAATTATTTTCTATTTTTAAAAGTTTCTGGTAACCCATGGGGAAAAAATATATTTTTAGACATTGGAATAGCATCCGATCGTATTATTGTTCTCTATGGAAAACGACTGGCATTTTTGCGCAATTGCGGTTGTGCGGTAATTAGTCGAAACCACTTTAATTATGGTAACAACGCATACCGACTCATTAATAATAAAAATTGTAATCAACACACTGCATCAATTAATTATCGACAAGAATTATTAAATGAGAATTCTAAATATGGAGTGAGTGAATATCAACGCACATAATGATCGGCATTATTACATCACTGTAATTTAATAAATTTTCAAGGTTATTTATCTACTATAGTTTAAATGTATATTGTTTCATACTGTATCCGTTTTATCTAGGTATATTGTATATGCAGGGTGTTACGCTGTTTCTTTTTAGAGAGAGTACCAAAATAAATGCCGATGTGACAGTTCGTCGTTCTAATAACAATCCAGGCATAACTAAGGAGCATGCGCTTCTTGCACCCGGGTAAATTACGTAAAGAATCCATGGCAGACCACAAAGTTTAATTTAGTCTGTGTGTAGTGGTAAATAAAAAGTTTGTGATAATTAAGAATATGTTTGGTAACTTTTAAATAACAATTATAAAAATGAAATCATACTTAAATGTTCTTTTTGATTAGGTTAATCGACACTTGTGTATATTGCTTTGCTCAAGGCCGTCCTAATTAATTTTTCTGTTGCATAATTGTTTAATTTTCTTTAGAAAACAAGAAGATACAACTTTTTGATATAAGTCCTGTTTATGCAGATATTTATTTATTATGCAGATGCTGATTTGTCGGATTCCATCAAGAAAAATAATACGTTTTCTGTATACAAAAAAGTGAAAAATATTTACACGGCAATGTAAAAATTAGAGATATATGTCATGCACATTTTTAAAACACATTTATCATAAAACATTTGGTAGAATAGATATATCGAAGCTGAAAGTATAATGAAAGGTTTATAAGCTAGTGCAGTCAGAAAGTAACATATTTACAAATAGGAAAGCATGAAATTCATAAGGAGTTCAAAATAATTGGTTTTCCTCCTCAATTAATCTTGTTTTTTTTTTCGAAAGAAGGATAGGTGAATGGCGTAGAAAAATATAAATATACTCGAACTATATCGTAATTGTAATTCAATACGAGATATTACAAAACTTCGCCTTAAGCACCCGCAGTACATTTCTTTCGTATCAGAAACGGCGTTTCAGCTTTAATACGTCCAAACTTTTTCGATATATTTCCCTGAAACTTTTCCCATAAATAATTATCTGAATAGATATGAACTCTGTTGCATTCCTAAGATAGGGATATGTAAAATATTTGTCGTGCGCTTACAGCTCATGCTAGGCTTAGTCCGTGATCGACTGTGCGTGTGCTATCGGACTGAAGAGTGATGAGGTAATATGTTCCGAGACGCGGTTTTTTAAAATTCGAAATAATGCCAAGTGTTCAAGGTTTTGAATATTTTGAATATTTGCAAATATCATTTTATGTAATTTTAATTTTTAGTTTGCAGTTTCAATTCAAATTTCCATATGAATATCTAGCAGTACATTTTAACCCAATTTCAGGAAAAGTAAAAATACGATTGTAATAAATTAGTCAATAAAAAGAAAATCGTATGTTTATGAAAGAACGTCCGCATTAAGAAATATATACAGGTTGATTTTGTTCCAGATTCAGGTATAATTTTTGAAACCAGTGTTTTAATTTAAAAAAATGCAAATGCATTACAACATAGATATCGGCAAAAATATTTTAAGGGTGTTCCGAATTGCGCATGCCTAATTTCACCTGGTGACGGAACGCCTCAAAATTGAGAAAACAAGTTCATATAAACATAGATCGTAGAACGTTTCGTTTCTCCTACGTTCGTTACCCCTATTTCCAGCCGACTGAAGCAGATCGCGACTTTTGGGGGCAGGGCCAGACTCCTGAACATCGCCCAGGTTTCGAAGCGTTCGGCGTTCCCGTTATAAAGGCGATCGAACGTCGACTTTGACCACTTGCAGTTACATAACCAGAGACAAGTACCTGGCCAGGAGTGTGACGTACGATCCAAATTTAAAATTGTCTGTTACTGTTAGTGTTACTGTATCATTATACTAAATGTATACAACCATATAAATATTTTTTCTTATTTTGATGTGTTGTATCACCTGGTAAAACTTAGCTTGTGCATTCAGGACACCCCCTTATATAAAACATTTGTTGGAAGTGAGCTGTGGCGTACCATTTGAGACAATTTTAGACAAATTGTAATAAATACCAAAAGTGATCAATGATTCAAAATTCGGCAACAAATTTAACAGTTCTAGAAAGTATTGGGTTTTTTTTGAAGAATCGTTTAAAATATTTTATGCGCTTTTGTTCCAATGGAGATAACATGTTTATATTCGGTTTATTTTCTGAAAGTCCCACATTTTCATTACAAAAAGATGCTTTATACTATCATTCTTTGTTGAGGCATTGGAATGACATATTAAAAGAAGTTCTTTAGTGAAACATAAAATTTAACAAATTCCAAAACCGCGTGCAAGAACGGCAGTGCGCGGACCACTTTAACGCGCAAAGCGGCGGTTTCGCTCACCCCCAACAATTCCCTGTACGAAAAAAGTGCCAGAACGGTGACATAAAATAGAGAATAAAGGTACGACAGCCTCGTAGGTGACCACAGAAGGTGCCTGAAGGAGAAAAACGAGGAACACCTGAAGACGGTGTCGCTCTTTTGTGATGCTGTACTCACCGAGGGCACACGCACGCACGACGACCAGGCCGAGGAGGGTGCGCTCATACTCACGTGAGACGAGTCCGACAGCGAGGTGTCCTGCGTGCGGTAGATGCCGATGGGGATCTCGCACGTGGTGGAGCACAGCTTCTGGTAGAGGCGGCCGTAGGTGCGGATCCACATGTCGTCCTTGGTGATGCGCATCTAGAAACGGAAGTTGAGTTAAATGTAAACACGTTCAAATTTTGTCAAAAGCATGAGCGTATCATAAAGTATGAAGACGAAATTTTAATTCCTACGCCACTGGACACATTAACTTTTATTTTCATTCAAGAAAAGGAAGGAACAAGATTTTTGAAATCTGAAACTGGAAATTTGGAAATGAGACCTTCACATCCTCAGCTCTATAGCAAATAGGCAACCAGCAATACATTTTTATAGATTTTATTACACAGTTTGTCTAAATATGAATCAGTGCACAAATAACAGACTTTCCTCCGTTCGAACCCAGATTTTCTATAAAATGGAGTTAGTTTGAACAAGTGACATCGTAAATGACAAATTTCTTTACATCAAAAAGTTATTTGTGTTTCAAACGAAGCCCATTTTATAGAAAATCTGCGTTAAAATGGGGGAAAGTCTGTTATTTGTGCATTAATTCATATTTAGAAAAACTGTGCAATAAAATCTATAAAAGTGTATTGTTGGTTGCCTATTTGCAATAGAGTCCTCTTAAACGACCTGTTTAGGACAGGCACATTGCTCCACCTATCGCCCACTAGGTGAACCTAATATTTAAATTGACGATATTACAGGAAACGACTATTCAGCGGGCTAGATGCCCCGACAGGCATTGGATTATACACCTGCAGTATATGCAAAAACAGCTATTGCCAATAAAAAAGGTTTAATTTTCCAACTTACCGAAGTGAGAAAACCCGATCCCGGCGCCTGGTCGATACCGAGCAGCAGCCTGACGAACGTGATGACGTAATCTTTGACGAAGGCCTGGTACAGCAAGGTGTCCAACATGCTGGCGCTGAAGACGCTGCCGGCTGCAAAGGGTAGTCGGAACATGTAGGAGATGTGGGAACCGCGCTCTTTTTCTCTCTAAAAAAGCGAAATAATCCAGATGAACCCCGTACATCCTGTTAAACTATCAATAAATTTTAAATAATGAATAAGGACTCCTAGATTAACCATACCTTAACCAATATACTAAATATGTAAAATTTCCTTCAACTGTCTTGAGGAGAGCAGCAAGTATTGTCGCAACGTTGACTAGGTAGAGTTTATATTTCATGTGTAAGACAAACATTTTTTAAAAGTTCAAATTGTTTCATTAACATTGTATCATTAGAAAGTTTAACGCATATGATACGCCTATGGATTTCGGTGATTTAAACTGCGTGTTTATAGCTTCGCTATAAATTTTATTGCATGTGGAATAAAGTGTTTAGAGGTTAATAGTTAATTCAACGATATATATTAAGTACCAACAATATTATATAGACACTTCATCAACTATTTACCACAGCTATAAATAAAGGAGGTTGAAAACAAAATTGTGGTGCGAACGTACAGATGAAATTTACCTGTTTCATTTATTACTATTTCAAATCCCACTTCTGATGTAAAATGTCTCGAGTTCGTAAAGTAGCTTAAAAAAAACTCATTGAAATACCGTCAAAAACAAATGACAAATATTCTTTATGATAAATTAATTTTGTGTTCTTTAATTTCAAAAATTTTAAGTCTATTGCCCTGAATATCTTCTATTTTTTATTCAGTCTAAAAAATAAAAGGGAATTTCCAAATATAGTTCGAGGTTGGATAAGTTAAAATTGAGGACTTGTTGACAACTAAAAGAAAAAACGTCTTCAAAGTTATTTCGGTTCCCACAATTTCATCAGCAGATTATGGAAACTTTGACGATTTTGAGGTGTTATTTTCTTTAAATCATCTCTGAAACCCACAATTTTTGTGTTTGTATTTAAAGGATTGCTTACCAATATTTGGCTGGAACCTTGGGAATAACTTGCGTTGGCAGCGCTTAAGGTTACTCCCAACTGCAATTTGGAAAAATACAAAAGAAAATGTCAAGTGGTCAAAGGAAGTCACACGTGACCCAAGCCATGCAGTGAGTTTAAAAAATAGAAGAAATTCAATTGTTCTCTCTACTTACTAGATATTAAAGTTAGTATGATGCACAATGCAGAAAACTAAACTCTTTTTAGAAAATCTCATGCTCTAAACGCGCTACGTGGTACGGATTCACATTTTCGTTCTTTTCGTTTGGAAATGCTGTAGAAAAAATTAAACAACTACATAAATCAGTCGTAAATGTACCGATGGCGGATGAGTTTTGTGTCTTTAAACTAACATCAAACTTGCTACTCTACTGTACTACATTTTCTATAAGTACTCAAATATCAATTACATCTTGGATATTCCAGGAGATCTATCCATGTGTAAAATAAAATTAAATTAATATGTCTTAGGTACTTAATAATTAAAATAGTGAACATTTTTTTAAGTAAATAGGTAACGTACTCACATTTTATGCTAATTAATATTATCTACTTGTGTATGAACTAGTTTGTAGCAACTTAAACGTAAATAATAAAATTCGAAACAAAGGCATTTTTGTAAGATCGGTCTTTCTGACATATACGATGAAAATCTATAGTGACCTTATCCTGTCTCCGATGTACAGTTCAGATCAAAATTTTTAAGCTAATTCTAAAAATTTACTACTAAATCTAAACGAAAATAGATGCCAGTTACTTGGATGTAAAAATGTAGTGGTTGCCATAAGTCCTATTTAGTAGTCCCTCCCCTTGGGCTTTGATAAGTATTCCCAGGAATTTCCCCATGATTGAAAGCACTCTTGAAAGGCTGCTGCTGTTAATGTGTTTATGACGTTGCGATTTCTTTTTGCTACAGTGGCATCACGGGTGTTATAGGATAATAATGCCTTCGATCAACATCATTAACACCAGCAGTCTTTTCAGGGTATTTCCAGTCATGTAATAAACTCGCTGGTGACCTAATTTATAAGATTCGAGTTGTAGGTTTAAGAACGATTAATAAAATTTACGAATTAGTTGTCCAATCGGTCAGTTGCTGTCCGATTTCGTTCGTGTAACTTTCGGTATCATTACCAGCGCTTAGCGTACGATTTTACTGAAAACAAATGCTTTTCAAATTGCCTACAAAAACAATGCTTAGCGGCGCCAACTTCAACCAATCCGTGAGAGTAAAAATAAGCTATCACTCCGCAGCACGCAAGATAATTGTAAAAATAAGCGTTGTCGGGACCGCCGCTACAAAACTGCGGAATTAAAAAAAACAAATTCGGTAAAGAAAACCATAGCTTACCTTTTCCATTTTGGAGAGGTGGAGGGCGTACTTGTCGTGGGCACGGAACTGCATGAAGCGCATGTTCGAGGACTGGGAGAGTTCCGTGATGCTCTTTATGCTCGGAAAAAATCTGAAAACAGATTAAAAAAATCGAATCGTACAACAAAATATTGCTTTGTCATGATGATAATTCTTTTAGTGCAACTCTTTAGTATTGTGGAACTAAGTCGATTTATTTGTCAAGCTGGGTCATTTATATAAATTTATGAGCCAAAATCGAGATAGAAAGAAACAAAAACCGCATGACACTTTATATCCATTGTCGGAATCATTAATTTTCGTCGTCCTAGTTCCTAGATTTTCGCTGTCTACGTCTTTTTATCTATAACGTTTTCAATAACATTTGAAATTAGATAAATGAAACTAGCCGAGGAAAATGTAGAAAATATTTAATTATTTCAGTCATTTTCCCTGTTTAGTTCATTGAATGCTGGAAAAGTCGATAGCTTTACTTCAGCACCCGCAGGAATCGAGCAGATGGCTGGAAATCGCCAGAAAACCACTCCGGTCTCCTTCCATAAAAGTATTTTACGGACTTCTGATACTCATTAGTGGGTGCTGGAATAAAACTAACCACGGATTCTGATTCAACGCGCTATTGAAAAAATGTCACCTTACTTGAACATAGTTTGGACTGCAACGATGGTGTTGCAGTCGGAGAGCGAGTCCTCTTCGGCGGAATTCGAGAGCTCCTTGTTCACGACCACCACGTTTTCCGCCAGTGTTATCCCCGCTCGAAGTAGGTCATCTAGGCTGAAATCATGAGCAACTGGGCATCATATGGCTTTTTAATAGACTGTACACGCTAAATATTTGAGAGTTCAGTAATTGCAAACTAATACCCACTGAATATATGTTTAGTAGAATGCCTATGAATCCAACAAATTCTGTGCAACATCAGGAATTCCACAGGGTTCAAATTTGGGGCCATTACCTTTACTTTTATTTATTTGACCTTATCGGTTACGTTTTTCGTTCGACAACAGAATAATGTAGTGTAGAGGAGTGGAAAAGTAGCACGGAAAAAAGTGAAAATGGCGAAGAAATCGACAAAACAAGGATAAAATGCAAGGAAACTGACCTTAGAAGTTATCTAGGAAGCATAATTACGGAGGATGGAAAAATAGAATCAGGACTAGTAAATAGAGCGGAAAAATCGAATAAGTTGTACTATGAATATATGATATAATTAATGGACTGTAAAGATACACAGTAGTAAACGCACGCAATGGTGAGACAATTGAGAAGACTAATTGGCAAGACAAAGTGAAGAATGAGAAACGAAACAATAAGATAAATGTTAAAATAAGAACCGATAACGAAGAAAATGAATTTGAAGAAGATGGAACCAAATGGAATAAAAAATGAGTGTAGACCATCAAAAAATGTAACAAAATGGAGGAAAGATAGACCACAAAAAAAAATGGATACAGTAAATAGCCAAAGTGGGGAAAGAAGGTAATGAAAATTAAAGCAATATTGAAAATAGAAAGGGATGGAAAAGATGAGGGGTGAAAATATAGGAAACTAACCCAAATCCGATGAAGAACAAATGGAAGGGAAGAAGGGAAGGAGAGGAAAATATATGGAAGATACTTACCAGTCGATGGAGCCTAGCATCCAATACACCAAGGGAAAATAAGAAACCGCGTCCAGAAACGCAATATCGGGCCTCCTTTCCAGCAGCAAAATGATCGGATTGAGCGACGTTTTGGACTTGAAGTGCGCCCTCAGCGGTATGATGAAGTTGTAGATGCCGTTGGAGGCGTAGTCCGCCGCCAAGATGATGGTCTTGTTCTGCCACTGGTAGTCCCTGGCGTTGCGGTAGCTGCAGTGCTCGCACACCTGGGCCAGCTGGAGGCAGCACAGGGGTTTCTTTTCCTTCAGGAGGTAGCAGAGGGTGGGGCTGACGCCGATGTAGGGCGAGACGGGCGGGAAGCCCTTTACGATGCTGCGCAGACAAGGGGTTTAGCCCGGTATGTATGAACGATGTTAGGTCGACTGGACTGAGGTCTGGTAGAAGATGAGGATTCTTTCTGCTACGGTATACACCCCGTATGTTACTTCAACCGTTCGCAACGAGATAGAGGTGAATTAGCGTTCGCGACAAACGCGAATATGCATGCCATTAACCATAACCTCAGCCTAATCGATCGGTTCGACGAACTGAATTAATTGTGGGATTAGCATTTTGAGCGGTATAATAAATCAAGAGATAGATAGATTTCGGATTGCGTCAGGCATAAAGCAAAGCTGAATCGTTAAATAAACGCTCTTCCGATATTAATTAGGCAAATCGAGAGTCGGGATTTCGATTGTTATCCTAAAGACGCCCACACACACGAAGATAAAGTGGCGGAACTATTTCTGCGCTATCTGTACAAAGTTAAATTTTAAAAGGAAAAAATTATGCTGTATTTGTGTATGGTATGTGTATGGGCACCTTAAGACTTTTACAACGCAGTGTCTTGCAACAAAAGGATACATAGATTTATCCTTTTAAATACAAGAAAGGGCTACCTATAAGGTAATAAAATGTCCTTGACATGCAATATATGAAGGAGATTTTGACAGTAGATTTTTATTTTAATGGAAGTTATTCTCAATAAGTAAATGCAAGGAAATATTTTTAAAAATAAATGTTATTTTCGTTTATTATTTGCTAATTTTATGCATAACAGTGCCCTTTGGGCGGAAATTTAATTTATTTAAGTGCCGTTTAATAAATGTTACCGGATAAGGTTTCGTAAAATGTTAGGAGGGTAATAAAAATATTTAATGATGATCGACAAATTATATTTCTGTTTTGGCCTGTACGAGAGATTGCACTGAAGTTATTGTACGGGTTCATTATACAGAGGAAGGCTGAACATATTTCGCCTTTCATATAATATTAAAAATATGATAATTTTATTCAAACTAGCTCAGAAATATTCCGATCATTATATTAAGATTTAAAAGGGGGAATATTTCTTTACTTATTATTATAATTTTATAAAAAAAGGTTATTCTTGATTGTATTCATGTGCACAGAAATGTAATTTTATATGGGTCAACAACAATTTAACATATACAGGGTGCTCCCAGATTATCACTTTAGTTGATTTTTGAGTCGAAATTTGGATACGTTTTCCACATTGAAAAACTATTGATATAATTTTTTTTTGTTGTCGATATCGACGGATCTGGATACCCCGTATATATTAAATTCTGACAAATTTTTAAGTGCTACCTTAACTAACGTGGTTAGACAGGATAAAATCAACTACTATTTTAATAATTTTGTAGAAGACACCCTGTATATGTAGGTCTATGCAAAATTCACCTTTTTTTAACAAGAATGACTTTTTTCATGAAATAAAAAATAAAAAAGTGTGTCCTCCTTTTCAACTCCATCTGTGGACACCTTGTATATTTCAATGCCATACATTTTATAAATAATCTGTATGTTTTTCCATATCTAGTACTATTGATTGGTACAATGTCCAATACCAGTGGCATTCTCATTCACTACTTTTGTGACAATTATTTTCAAAGAATATCACGCAACTCATGCAAATTATCGCCTATTGTAAAATTCAACTCAGGCTTTCAAGATATGATTGTATTTTATTAATCGAATTCTAAAATTTTAAAGATGATTTATTCGATTGTGTTAATTCTGGGAACTACGATGATTTTGAAGTTTTGATTACAAGTTTTCTCCACTTTACATAATTCTGTTCAAAATATGGAGCCTTCACAAATGTGACCTTAGGCAGCCAACATTGCACGATTGGGGATCGCTGATTGAACAGAATTTCGTAAAAAATTACAGTCGGTGAAATAGAATGTTGTGTTTCAATGTAATTTTGATCTTATTGTTTTAATAATCTTTAATTTTACTGAAATTTAATTGCCAATATGAAGCAAATGAAAAAAAAAACAACTGGTCAATTGATATTTCAAACACATCAAAAATATAATGAATTAAAAGGAAAAGGTTTAAAAATTAAAAAAAATGTTCTTCGTTGACGTTGTTTTCATGGAAATTTAGACTTATTGGCCAGTATTGACTACAAACAACGAAAATGAATATTACCAATATATTTAAACAATTTGACATCATTGCTTAGATAGGTGATGGTAAATTCGACGCGTTACTACGAAAACATGCTATCTCAAATTTAGCTTGGAAAACATGCTAGCTCAGATCTTTAAGGAAAAACATGCTATCTCACGCAAAATTAAGTTTGACTAGAAATTTAAGTTGGCTGCATTGGCGTTGAAATGCACATTGAATGATTGAAACCGTACACTTATTTTTCACAAAATCTGGGTTGCACAATTTATTCTGAAAATAATTCTATAGACTTAATGAGGACTCTAAGGAGACTGCAATAAAAAGGATTATATGGTGGACCAGGCTAGGCCCAAATTCCGGGTCCGAATCGTTCTTACTGCACCTCAATAAAAACAAATGGCTTCTTAAAGGTACGGTAGCCGTGTGCTTGCATAGACTTTGGAAATGAATTGCAGGTATGCGACACTTTTATTACCGGTACTTTATGATTTGCTGGATATCGATGCGACGGGCGCAGAGCATATGATATGCACGTGCACGTTTCCGCGGTTCCCCATGCACACATGCTTATCGTACATATCATTCAACTTTATACATTATATTTATACTCTGGTTATTATGGTTACTCTGGTTATTAACTGTATTAATAGAATTTTATGAATAAATGATGTTTTTCTACAAATTGTTGCAGCTTGTTCTTATTTGAAAAGTAACGATTGTAAAAAACGTATTTCACAAAAAAATTAAAAAATTGATATTATTGATATTAATTAATTATGCAGTTATAAATACAAAGCTGTGTGTAAAAATCAAGATTTTATCAGAATGCAAGTTAAGAGCAATTGCAAAGACAATCCAAGTATAGCTGCTCTACACGGGTATATTGTCCATGTAAGAATGATTCGGAGCCGGCATTTGGAGCCTAGCCTGGTCCACTATAATCCTTTTTATTGCAGTCTCCGTGGAGTCCGCATTAAGGCATATAAAATTATTTTTAGAATAAAAGTAAGAGTAGTGACTATAAATCAGATAAGAGTGCGCTATTAATTTTTTTATCAAAGTAAACTTTTACGAATAGAGTCGAATAATTTTTAGTAATAATAAACATTTTTATATATTAAGGTATACACTATTTTTTTATAATTTGTTATTTCAAAAATCGTCTAGTAATGTGCGTGTTGCAGCAGACTGCATATTATTCTATTTTTGTAATTAACAATTTTGTCGTTTGTAACAGTAAGTTAACAAAATTAATCAAAGATCTGAACTAGCATGTTTTCCAAGGTTAATTTGAGATAGCATGTTTTCGTAGTAACGCGTCGAATTGTTCGGAATATTGTAGAAACGATGGTTAATTGGTCTAGACTTTTCAGACGAAGGCGATCGTTAATTGCTCTGGATTTTACATGTACAGGCGATTGTTTAATTATTCCAGGCTATATATATTTATTAGTTGTAACAAAAACTTCAGGATCTCTAAAGTTACGTACACCTACAGGGGGTTCAACTAATAGCACACGGACGGGATACGAACGAGTACGTTTTCTACTATAATCTGAAGAAATTTTCGACTTACCTAATACATACGTCATGCCATGCGAGTTGGCTCGAGTCTCCGGTCGAGTCGTCTGTAAGACTGGACCTAGGGAGTGCAAGGTACGGACAGAGTGATATCAAGAAGGCTGTCATTGTGCAAGTCATGACCGTGCTCACACGGGGGTAAGGGCGGGTGTATACGGTGACATACAGAGAAAGCACGCACATAGACAGGGATACAGAGAGAAAGAGAGAGGTAGCTGTCACAAATTGCACTAAGCTAAAATCGAGGAGCTATCAGTCTCATCTTCAGATCGGATATTTGGTGGACTATAGCTAGGCATGCGACATGGTTTCACACTTTTTTTATGCTAGGAGTGGGGGTGGCCCGTTTTTCGGAAAAGCGAAATTTTCGTTGTAGGGAAAGCTGTACGTGGTAAAATTGTCGTACGAAGTTAGTATGGTTAATTTTTTAAAATAAAGTTCAAGATACAGGGTGTCAAAGTTAAAATTTTGTACTTTCATTATATGCTGCCATACTTTTTATGTAATTTTAAGGTAACAGGGTGCTCAGTAAATAATGGTATCCCCTAGTAATAATAGAAAAATTTATTTTAAGAAAAGTGAGGATCTTCGTTCAATTTTTGAAAAATTGTAAAAGTATATCACATTTTGTGAAACATTTCTTACGAAACCAATGAGTTTTCTGGAACTACGCCAGTATTTTTTTTTAACTTTTGACACATTATGTTGTATTTAATTTTTATTTCTAACAAAAAATTCTGAAAAACTATTTTTGTTTACAGAATAGACAGAGATATGCAATATCTCGTAAACAATATTCTAATCACAATTTTGCAAGGATGAAAGATATAAAATAAATGAACGTTGATATTTGACCCACAGGCGTGCACAGAAGTCAATAATAAAATTTCAGTTGAATTCTATGCGGTCAACAACGGCAGATTTACTATTTTCTGTCAAAAAATCTTGAGGTTAACGGTTATCACTCTATTTCAGTCAGAACACTTGACAATTATGTACGTTGCTTCAAGGTTGATTTTGGCAGAAAAATCGATCCGATTTTCAATTTTGTCTTATACAGTGAAATTCGTACAAACTACATATATTTTATTCATCTTTTGATTGCGCCGTAACTCCATTTTTAATTTATCGTATGCGGTTTTAAAAGTTTCCACCCTTATTTACTTCCAGACCTCAGAGGAGTAGCTTCGGTAATTTTTTATTTAAAAAATGTAACCCTAGAGATTTGCTCCGCTGACAGCAATTCGTGGGGGAATTGTTTGTTTAGCTGTCGTGACCGAATTTAAAAGGTGAGCAGAATAGAACATAGAGCAATAGAAAAAGAATTATTTTTTATTATACAGGGTGGAAAAGCGATGTTGTAACAAACTTTAAGCGGTAATTTTTTTGAAATAAACAAAAAGTGACACTTTTTTCTTTAAAATAATTGCTAAGAGCTTTACATCGGATTTTAAACGTTCTAAAATGCGTACTGGTAGCTATTTCGCGACCTGTATTTGAGATCCTCTCTCTCAGTGCACTTTTTACAGCTTTTACTTCAAGGGAAGTTTATTATTTTGATCCTAAATTAATTAATCATCTTTGTTGTATTGTGGCATCTAAAAAAAAACTGTTAAGAACTTATTTTCTTCGGAGAAATGAGGAATCACCTCTTGAAATTGCTTGCAGAAATTCTGTTACACCTTGTATCATATAGCAACGGAAGGAAAAGTTTTCGAAATATTTTCTCATAAAATTCTGATTCCTGCCAGTAAAAGAAAACCTAGTGTAATTAAGTGGAATGTACGAACAAAAATTTTCAGACTCTTTGACTTATTATAGGGACAAAGGGTGAAACTACAAAAAATTATTAACACACTGAGTGTATCGAAAAAAAAAACGCCTATAACGCCGCTAATTTTTGTACGATTTTAAAAAACAAAAATTTGGCATAAATGGCTAAAAATATTATAAACTGGAACACACTCAGCATTTTCTAAGGCCTATTTTAGTGGCAGACGATTGTCAATTGTTTTTGCAAATGAAATGACATATATTTTTGTATCTATTTCCTGAATCTAACGATATAAGATAACTTGATTATCCGATGCACTGGGTAGTACCATTTTTTTTTGTTAATGTCTGTTTTTCGAATTAAACTTAATTTGCGCCAACTTGCAACGCCTAAAAAAAAATTAAAATAAGAAAAAGGGTACAACTTTCATCTAAATTAATTTTTTAGTGCTATGGAGAATAATATTTAAATAAATCTGTATTTTATTTCTCGTTATCCGTCATACTTGAAAATAGCCAGATGTCATAAAATATCAGAGAGTTACTATTAAACGTTTAATATATTTTTTCTTTACAATCAGAACCCCAGAAGGCCCTTTACGCCTTATAATAACTCAAAAAGTCCACAATTCGCCCGTCTTTATAACCTCCCCAACACCTTTTAGCGTTTTTCCGAAATAATGGACTGTCCCCACCGTTCAGTCGTTCGCTTGCGTCAAAGGTCAGACACTCGTCATACCCCTCTGTGAGACTTACGCGATTTTCTCGCTGGGAGACCTCCACGGTACGTCGTCCTCCAGCTCGTCCTCGCTCTCGTCCGCCTCGTCGGCGGCGTCCTGCGAGATGTTGAGGGTGCTGCTGGTGAACATGTCGGGCACGGGCAAGATGCTGGGTCGGCGGGAGTTCCTGCGTTGGGCGGCGATGCCGCCACCAGTCTCGGGGCTCAGCAGGTTGGGGTTGTCGCTGCGCGGGATGTCTAGGTGGTTGCCTGCGGATGGAGAAAGAGTTGTTTTAATTTTTACTTAGAAAGAAGAGAATAAAACTGAAAAATTTCGACACTGTCCCATTTGTCTTTCCCTCTGGGACATACACGAGCCAAACGAAGGGAACTAGACTTATTTTCTATTCGGAAAACGCTCGCTTTACCTGTAATGGAAACGTCGAAGGTGATCGACCCAGGGGAGGACTCTTTCAGGCATTGTCTGGAGTCGCTGGAGCCGGTGTGATCGGGAAACGTGGCTGTGAAATTAAAACGTACTTTCTTTGATATTATTATTTCGGTGGATTTCGTCCACGTAGACACAGTGTGTTATGAAGGGTGCCCGAGTCCGTTTGGACATTACCAACGCGCTTTTGATTTGTAAAGTATATTTTGTTAATGTTACTTCTTTGAGCCACCGCTAGGTGTCAGAATTTATGTCTCGCCGATAGTAGTTCATTGCGACGATAAGAACAACATGAAGTTCCGGAAAGTTTTGTAATAGAATATAAATAATTTTATTAGTCCATCAATTAAATTGTACTTGGTGTAAAACTAAAAGAATTTTTCATGAAATTGTAATTTGTGGCACTGTTAGTATTTAGTAGTACGTAATTAAAAGTTCTCAAAGTGAGGAATGAAAGAAAAATATTGAAAATAATTTCCGTAAAATGGTTTGGGGTTAGGTCTAAAATAATACGCATTTGTGACAATTTCAGTTCCTGACAAAGAATATATTTTAATTATTTTACATTACAGAAAACGAGCATCACAATGAGTGAAGCGGACAAATTTGTGTGAAAATGTTTTTCCTTTGTTTCTACTCTGGATTTAGATGCAATGGAGTAATTAATTTGTGATGAGATTAAAAAATTGCCATGCTAGATTTTGATGTGAACAAATTTTTTATTTGACTATACCAGTTCCTCCGACTGAACATGAATTTATTTCTTAGGAACAGCAATGGTATGATTCTAAATTTGGGTGGTCTAAATTACACAGATTAATTCGACAATTTGCTTTATAAAACAGAGCAATTATAACAGTGAACAGATTTCCTGTTTTGAGGGAACATAAAATTCCACTCCCCAAACACTAGAAATATAAAATTCCTTTAAGGCGGTTGGAAGAAAGGCAATTATAGAGATTTCACAAGACTTCTTTGTTGAACTGTGATGATTTGTCGCTGATTTATTTTGTTTGCCTCAGAAGTATTCTGTCAGTCAAATCAACTGAATTTTTATATCATATACAGGGTGTTAGAAGTTTGACTGTCTTAATTTTAACATAGGATAGAATACATTAAAATAAATAAAAAAAACTTATATGACATGTGTAGAAAAAATTATATATTGACATAACTGCGGGCATAGAATACCATAAAATACAAATGTTTATTGCTTTTTTCAACTTCTGTATGCTTAATTTTAAAAAAATAATTAGCGTTGTAATAAGTTTAAAATTCGATAAAATTCATATCGAGCAATGTGACAACGGCGCGGCAGTTTATTAACACGAGGTACTAATGTGTCCAGCAACCACCAATACGCAATTCAGTTGGTATCTGGATTCGACCGTGTCGAAGTGTTTTCTGCGCAACACTGTTTCCTTTTCTTGAGGTGTCTTCCAGCGAGTGTGCGAAAATTGGATTCGAAGGTGTCGTGTGTGCATCGAAAATGGTGTACTTGTGCGTTTAAAAATTATTGAATTTTGCTTTTTGGTAAGTACCTAAATTATTTTTAATACATCTGATTATTTGGACGACGTGAATCTTTAGGTACTTTAATTACATATTTTTCAAATACGTAATTTGACTAAAAGATAAGTTCCTGTTTTAAGAGATTCATAATTACTAAAATTCGAGCTAAAATTTAAGCACAACACTATCTTCGTACTACAAAATCGATACATTTTATTTTATTTATTTAAAAACTGTCTTAAAATTTACTAAATGTTTCACAATAATAGCTTTTTACATTTTTTCTGTAGGACAAGTCTGCCTCGTGTACACGTGGTGTGCATCAGCAGGTTAAGCGCTGTTGTCACGTTGTGATGAAACTCCCCAATATTAATACTCGCTGTATTTTGAAAACTGTTAATCTTACGCCCCTGCGATATACAACTTTTCTGTTCATTTATGATTACTTTATCTCATGCTGAAGTAATGGCAGTCAAACTTCTTACATCCTGTATATTATATGATTAGTTAAACTAATGGGCAATTGATTCTGTGGAAATTCTTCAAGTTTCCAGGTTGCAACGTTTCGAGAGACATTCGCTCTGGATATTAAGTCCCCTTGCCGGTATCGACGTTTCGGAGCAGGATTTGAAGTTTATTGTCTCACTAAATAAGTAGTAGTGGCCTCAAACCTTACACAGAATCGCCATGGCCTAATGCACACAGCAAACACACCGGTAAATACCGGCCAGGGGACTTAATATTCAGTTTCAAAGTTTCTTCTGAATTAGAAAGCGATTTGTCCTTCAAAACACCAAGAATTATAAACCGACGACGTGGCAACCAATACATTTTAATTGATTTATGGATCATTAAATTTTGTAAAGTTTTAACGTCGCATTTTTTTTTAATCTTGACTAGAGGTTGCACAACAATACATAAACAATTCCGGACACGTTACTGGAATCCGAAATGTTTAAGTTTTAACCGGCTTCCCTTGTAAAACCGACGGTATCGTGCACGTATCGCGGTCCCAGGCGGTTCGGACACCCTCCATAAAAATTCCAACTAGCATGTAGTGCGGCACACGGAAAGCGTCTATTTAACGTTTGCGGCAGTCGGTGACGCGGCCGCCGCAACGTATGGCCAAAACGACAACATCGATAACAAAGCTACTCCTGCTGTACAGGGCGATCCGAATAACCCTACCACCCCCGTAATCTTGCTTATATGACGACCTTGAAAAATAAATTTAGGTGGCGGTAGTTGGCACTGCTTCTCAATTGTTTTACTTGTTTATAGCCAATTATAACCAAGTAATTCTAGAATTACTGAATATGTTTTATATTATTGACAACCTGTATAAGTAGGTAAACAAAATGATCAATTTTCTGAACTGCTTCTTTTGGTTTTTCGTATCTCTTCAAAATGAAAGCACAATTCATATGTCAAAGATAACGAGGGTGGACATTATTTAAACCACCCTGTAAGTGGTGGCTTGCCGTGATACATGAGCAGTAATGTGATTTTCTTTTGTTTTTTTTTTTACCTGCGGCCGAAACGAACACTGTATGTTCGTTTGTTTAGTGTGCGTGCGTGGCGTGGACTGTCGATTGTTTTTTTTGTTCAGCCGTTGGGAATAATACATCCCCTGTGCCCTAATTTTTTTTTTGTAAATATCTATGGTAGGTATGAGTGTGCGGTGGTTCCTGTTTAATTTTGCTGCCGAATTACCTTACCAATATTTTAGTTTTCCAATTGTAAATTAGTGATTGTTTCTTCATGGAAATGGTATGGACAATGATATATCTCCAGGAAATGTCGCATTTCTAAACTGAGTGCCGCAGAATCTAAGATACGAATAATAGGCCAAGCAAAAAAAGTCCTATCCGCGAGATTATTGTAAAATTGTCTAAAGGAACATAATACAAGACATCTCTCATCTGGTGAGTCAAAAAATTTTATTAGCTAATAAGTGAGGAAAACAGTTTTTTCACTTTACAGGGAAAACCATCAATTTTAGCGAAAAGTGACTCACAAACATCTACAAAATGAGACTTGTTAAATTAAAATCGGTTAATAAACAAAAAAGTTATTGCAAAAAAACAAGGAAAGTGCTCTTGTACGCGGGAGCGCAAATGGCTCCATCTGTCGTGCGGATTAGCTGTTGCACTAGGTGTTGCGAGTATAATTCAATGCCGGTAGGGGCATTTAGCTCTCGGAGTAGTTGTTTCGCGATATCTCGGCTTCTATTCATCGTAGAAACTTCCTTTTTTTAAACTGGGGTAGCTCGACGAAAAAATAACTATGGGCATATTTACGAATCCGTAGAATAGCCCTGAACCCCAGAAAAAATGCATCTTTTATACTTAATTTTTTTTAATTTACAAAAATGTCACAATAATTTTTGTGACACTGCGAAATTTTACAGCGCGCATCAACTTGAACATTGGATTTCATTTTTCTCGCGCGTGCGACTCGCTTGGACGAGCTTCCCCTACCACCACGCCGGACATTTTACTTAGCCAGTACCTTCTCTTTAAAGGGCTTGTGAGTCGTTAATTTTCCACATTTTTCAATTGCAATTCACGGGAAATCGTAGTTTACGTCGTAAACTTTATTTTGCGAAAAATTCAAGTGTTAATGTTTATAAACAATTGCGCTACGATTTTTTTTTAAATTCTTATCTTGGCTCCTGTTGGTCGTAGAGAGTACTTTTTTAAACTGTTTTTTTTTTGCCAGCTATCCATTGCATCTATTTTCGGTGAGTTAGCGTAAATAGCAATAATGTTATTCAAATTGTTTATAAGCGAAAAACGCACGGTTTTTTAATGCACAATTTGAGAATGTTAATGTCAAAAAAACGGTGATATTTTTTAATAGGTCGCTTAATTACGTCTTTCAGATTATAATGACGCATTCAGAATCATGTTTGATTGAAAATTAACGTCTGTACAGAGGCTTAAAGTTCATAACTTTTGGAGCCTCCGCTATAAACAAATAGAATTGTGCGAAAACTATTGCACCTACAGCGCCCACTTTTGGCACACTTTTAAAGTATGACAAAACCCTCAACTTGTCATAGGTTTTATAAAATTTTAACAATAAATGCGATAGTTATAAACAAATGAAAAATTGGGCACTTTTCTTGTTTTGTTGTAATAACTTTTTTGTTTATTAACCGATTTTAATTTAACAAATCTTATTTTGTAGATAATTTTACTCCCTGCAAGCTGTCTGAGAGTCACTTTTCGCTAAAATTGATGGTTTTCCCTGCTAAGTGAAAAAAAAAATAGAAAAGTTAGCTAATAAAAGTTTTTGACTCACGACATGAGAGATGTCTTGTATTATGTTCCTTTAGACAATTTTACAATAATCTAGCGAATAGGACTTTTTTCGAGTTTCTCTTTTATTTTCGCAAATTTTCCTGGTGTATAACTAATATCTGACAAAAGGCCTTCCCGTTAATTTCAGTCTAGTAATTTTATCCTAAAACTGCAACACTCTTCGATTTAAAGCGTATCCATGGGCACTAAAGAGGAAATAGCAAAAGCAATATTTTTTTATTATAAAAAAAACTAAACCAAAAATCTTTTTCTTAAACATGCATCCAAATTATTTTATCTTCTATAATTTTGATAAAAAATAATTAGTCTGGCAATGTAAATAAATAGCTCTGTTATTGTTCGAGATACAAAAGATGCTACATTTTAAAATTATTGTCAAATATACAGAGTGACGCATAGAAGCGTGGAAAGTTAGTTTTTTAAACGAAACGGCCTGTATGTATATTTTTACATATTTGAATTCGCCCAAAAATTGTGCATACAGTGCTGTACAAAATTACGATGTTGCCATTATTATAAAATGTCTGAGACTTTGCAGAAAACACGGTCTGTTCGAACGTATGTAATAATTTTCAAATGGTATCGCCAAATTATACGACTGTGTGTAAGAGAAACGTTGTTCCAGATCTGTGGGACATTCAAAATTTGATACATGATGTTTTCTATAAGCAAAACAATTTTCCAAAAATTTCGAACTATATTTTCTCTGATTTTTTTCACAATAAAATTCTGCGCACTATAATCTTACATGAGATTGCGGCGTTGCCATTGTGTAGAAAAGTCTTAGGTTTTGCGGAAAATATGGCCTGTTTAAATATGCAATAATTTTCAAATGGCGATAGTTAGAAGCAAATTATTTAGTACTCCAGATCAGTGGGACATTCCCAATTTCATACATGGTGTTTCCTATGGGGAAAACAATTTTACAAAAAGTTCAAACATACTTTCTCTGATTTTTCCAATGGGACAGCCATTTTTACATATTTGAATTGAACATAAAATTCTGAATGCTGCGTATTGTAATTTTATATTCGATTCTATTATGTAGAAAATGTCTTAAATTTGCAGAAAATATGGCCTGTTTAAATACGTAAAAGATTTTTTTATATCGCTAATAATAACAGAGCAGCATACTTTTTTCCCACTCGGTACAACCTTACAGTTTTCAACAATATTTTGACTTAGGTTTTACTGAAAAACTTCTGTCGACTGTTTTTACTATACCCTCTACCTTCCCCCGTTAGAACCCAGCGGCGCACCACACAAAACAGAACAAATAAAAAACATGAAAAACCAGAACGAAAAACAGACATAGCGATGACCATCCATGCGCGACAACACTCACTGACACAGGTGGGGACTTGCAGAATGAGTTGAGGGGGGCCGGTACCGTCTTTGTGTGTGGCGGGGGTTGGCGCCTTCGATTCCTCCTCTTTTGCCGTGACGATGACGGGGTCCGTCGAGGAGGAGTTGTTGTTGTTTGGTTGCTGGTTGGCCACGCTGAACGCCGAATTCTCCTCCTTGGTGATGCTCATGTAGTAGCAGGTGTCGCTCTTCTTCATGATGTGCCTGGGACCGGGGTTCAGCAGGATAGTGTCCTCGTAGAACTCCGGCAGCTCGGCGGGCCGCACGCCCACCAGGGCCACGCCGTACCTGAAGTGAAACGGAAATCATGAATTTTAACACATTGGAAATGAAAGTAGTTGTCATGGGTTAAAATAATAGGAATGTTCACCAATTTACTGCTCATTGTCAACCACGTAATCGTGAAATGCGAGCGCAGAAAGATCCAGCTTACACAATGCCGTCAAAATCACTCCGATCGGACCATACCTGCGCCCAGCAGTCGTGACCGAATAGAAGTTTACACCCCCTATACACATACATTTTTCAAACATTTAGTTTTACAGTACTGATTGCTTCAACATTTCCAGTGTTTTACATTATTAATCAGATTTTTTTAAGATTTTTTTTATTAAAGTAAAAAATACCTTTTGTTTTTTGAAACAGAACTTATGCATTCCAAAATGAGTAATAACAGTTTATCTAGTGTGGCTGTGGATGCAAATAAACAAAAGAGTATACACTGTCGCACTAGATTACAAACGATATTACTGAAAAAAGTGCCCTTTCCGCGTTATTTACGAGGGAGATGCGGCGTACATCGACCCAATTTCCCAACTTTTCAACTTAAGAGTTCGCCACCGACAGTTCCATCCTTTATTTTTGCCCCGACAACAACTTGGAAATTAAAGTCCCGAGGTATAAATTAGGTTTTGCTATTTTCAGTTTGCAACTCGAGCCGTGTTAAGCAGCGCATGGCGGCGAGTAAATCACTCACCGGTCGTATTCTATTTTGTACGTAATACATCCTGTGAGGTGGTGGCTGTTCAGTTTTTCAACTTCCCTGAATTTGGGTAAAATGAGGCTTTACGTCAACATACTATTTTTCGAAGCCCGTGTGTATGTTTTTAATTCGCGAATCTCGGTATCAATGACCTCTAACAACTATACTATTGTCACTATATAAAATAAATAGGGATGCATTTAGAATTCTAAACAAAATACGGCATGTTACTATTTTTATCAAATTAATTCAAAATAAACAAAACATCAACGAAATTAAACCGTGAACAGTAAATTTAGCAGAATCCGATCCTGTTCAGAACGCTTACAAAGGGCAACGGAGGCTAGGCCCCGCTGTTCAGTTAAAATTTCCGTATTTTTGCCTCTGAAAAGCCACTACTGCCAGTTGACTTCATATGTGGGTGGGATATGGGGTAAAGGGGTAAAGAACAAACTACCACGTTAATTCGGCAAGATTTTTTAGCCCCCTTAGAAGGTATAAAATGTCGCAAGCTATTTTTCAACATTCCATATAATTACAAACTGTTAAAACTGTAAAAATTCACGTTTGAGTGGTGGAGGGGACAGCGTATTACTAATTAGTGCATAAAAATAACTTAATACTTACTTCCTGTGCGAGTGAAAGCTGGCGTACGTGAAGCTCTTGCCCTCGTACTCTCCGAAGAAGCGGCTGTCGCCGAGCACGATGTGGTAGATCTCGTTGCCGGAGCACCGGCCGTACAGGCGGTGCCACTCCTCCTGAGATTGCTGGCCCTCCCTGAAAATGGCAACGTAATTAGAACGTCAACAGGGATCAGGGTTCGTAGGAAGGCAATTGAGCACGTATGGAGGCCTAAAAAAAGCTTTCTTTGGAAGTTTGTGGCGTCGAATAACAGTAAAGACGTCCATACACCGACACGCGCTTACCGCGAGATTGGAGCTTAACTCGTCGCGTTCAGGAATTGTAACTTTCGAGTCACGTAATTAGTAAGGATTACGAAAAGGACCCGGACCCTATATGTTGGTAAAAAATATATCGCTTTTGTAGTTGCGAGGTTTTTCTCGTATAGGGGTAGTAGTATCACGCCACCTGATAGCATTTTCTCAATTTAAACTTTATATTTATCTAGTTATCAAAGAAGTAAGTCAGATGAATGTTAAATAACAAATAAGAAGCAACAAGTAATGTTTGTTATAGTTTCAACAATGAGATTTAGACAACTATACAGATCACATCAACGCGACGAAGTTACGTTACGATGTTTTGTTGCATGTCTAGGCGCACTTTCACAACTTTCGCGCCAATTGTACGGGGACTTTTAGATTATTGTGTCAATTATACTTTCTACTACGCTGTATTGTACTCACTGTCCCCTGGAGGTGTGAAGGAGGAGCGTGACCAGGGTGGAGGCGCCGGGACAGGTACAGTTGTTGGCCAGCAGGGCGTATTTGAATTCGTCCTCGCACACCACGAATTCGGCGAACTTGACGTGCAGCTTGTTCTCCGGCCGGAAGATCTGCACGTACTGGGCCACACCAGGTGCGAAGTCCTTTACAGCCCACGACCTAAGGATGGTATGTTCGTCCTGGAACAACAAGAACGGAAAATGTATGCAGCAATTTTATGTTCTTGTTAAAGTTCGTGTGCATGAAACAACTACTCTGCGAATCACAGCTCCACACCGCCTTGAATTAAACCCACATTATCTTATAAACAGCTTAGCTTCATTACGCCTTTGAAGTGGTCACTTGATAAATAGAGCAAAATCATTGCGCCCCTCGCAGTGTTTGCGATGCAAAAGTGTAACAGCGACAACATCCACTTCTCAAGAAAAGTGTATATAATAATTCTCACCACGATATTTTTTTACTTACCGCTGCCGTTTTGTCCGCGTAATTCCGGGCCGCCAGTATAAAACAGGCCTCAGCCTCGTTCATCCTCGCCCGGGCTAGATCAGCGTCCTTCAAGCAGGAGCCTTGGATGTAGATGACGCGTTGCGCCCATATGGGCACCTGCAGGATCATCCGCATCGTGGTGTCTAGCTCCATCGGAGACAACAGGACCACGTAGTAGTCCTGAAACGGAAAGTCGTCACAGTTTCCAAAACATTACTTTAAAAAAATTTGATAATATTTTCATTGGATGAAACGTAACATCGTAGCAGGAAGGCCCTGTATATTCTTTTAGGGAAAGAAAACTTGTAACAACTTTATTAATATTAAATTTAGTTTAAACTAGTGGAAAAAATTAAGGGATCAAAAAAAAATCTAAATTTTCGGCGATTTTTCAAAAAAAAAAGCAATTTGAAGCTTGAAGTTTCTATACGTATCGCGAATATCATGAAAACAAATTTTTCGAAATTTTTTTCGATCTTATTTTTGGTGTACAGACTTGAAAAAAATTTTTACAACTTAACCACCTTATGGATTAGATAGGTTGTTCATTTAGCTTCAATTTATTTTTTTTTGGTCTCGATACGACCATTTCTCGCTGAGCTATCGGACTTTGAATGAAAATGGATCATTTTCTCTTTGTTCATCGATATCTCAGAAACCAATGATTGCACAGAAAATCGACGGTGGGTTTCAGAAACTTGAATGAATTCTCTACAAGGTCCTGGCACGGTTTTTTTTGCAAGATCCAAAAATTAGAAACTTCAAGCATTAAATTGCTTTTTTTTTTACTCCAATACGACCATTTTTATCAAAGATACTGCGATTTGAAAACTCGTCGAAAATTTAGATTTTTTTTATCCTTTAATTTTTTCCACTAGTGTATATGTGATATAAAATATTGGAAGCAAGTCCCTGTAACAAAATCCAACGTGGCTTTTAGGTATTACTAAAGCCTCGACTGAAACAAAAAAATATCACGTCCCGGATTCAATTTTAGAAGTTTCGAAAGTTATTGTTTTGTTCGGTGAACTTAAAATTCCGCAGAGCAATCTTTGCATATATGAAAATCCGGTCTGCCTCATCTCAAATCCTGAACCCGACTGCGAATATATTCGTCCACGTCGTTTTAGAAATTTTGTACGACTGTCGTAATATCAGGAGCATTATTATGTGGAGTTATAACTAAGAAGTTTAAAGCAGTTGCAAAGTTAAAAGCGTATTCTGACTCAATTTCCTCGGGCGAGGGATTATTTCGAATGTGCCCCCTTACGTAAATCCGGAAAAATGTAATTTAGATACGCCAAGTATTCTATTGAGATGATTTGTCCATTTTTTTAATAAAAAAATTATATGGCAGTAATTTTGTGTTCCGTGGGTACTGCGCCATATTTGCTATTGACAGGAACAAAAGTATCATTTCTGGGGACGACAGTAACTGTTTTTGTATCGTTTTTTGTCACTTTACTGCACTGTAACTATTTTCCAAAAATTATTAATAAAGTGTTCTACCTCATCTTGCTTCAAAAACAAAAACATAACTTATAAAAAAATTCATCCTATTTAATAGTAGGGTAGAGTACCAAAAAGAATGCAGTGAATATTATAAATAAATCTACCCACAATTTGTACAAGTTCTTAATGTAATAAAAAAATGTTTCATTTCTCGAAGTATCAGTTTCCAGCTTAGACGTTTCGTTTCCTGTCATATGCGTGCAAGTGGGAACAACCTGTTGCTGTGACATTCTAGTAAATACACACTTCGTTTGTAATACTGTTTTATTGTAAGAAATGCCGTAAATGGACTCCTAAATATTATTAATTCTGATTTTACCTGGAGCAGAGGATGGGCGTAGAATTCGTTAAGGAAGTCCATGATGGTGTCTGCGTGGAGCGTCGTGCTACAAACTACTACGTGCTTCTCCGACTGCGCCCTGTGGGAGGAATAAGATCCCCCTAATTTCTGACGTTCCATCCACGTGAAGGCCAATTGCTCGAACTGAAAAAATATCGTCAGGTAACGACGTGAATTCCCTCATTTTGAAATGCGGCTTTACCCGAAGCGAAAGTGGAAAGATAATTAAATTTATTCCATTTCGTATCATTATTTCATCCTGACAGCGCTAGGTATTACCTTTTGAGATGCGTATTCCATCAATCAAAGCGGTATTAACTTTTATTTAACTTTTTTTATTTAAAAATTGCCTGTCGCGGTTAGATTAAAGTACTTGCCTGTGTGGGCAGGACGATGAGGGCGACGCATATCATGATGACCATCCACAGCTGGGAGGGCCAGATGTCAGGCACCAGGTCTCCGTAGCCGACTGTGGAGAAGGTTACGACGACGTAATAGGTGGCCTGGAAGAGATTGAGGTGACGGTGGCCCGCACGCTGACAGTGCTGAATACCGCATACGCTAGAATAGATAGAGGAGTCTATTACAGAAAGGTCGGCTTTTATAATAAGAGATCTGTTAGGAACAGTGACAATGTCTGCCCCATACCGGAAGAGATAAAGGCGATAACAATGGAAAAGTAAGAATGAATAAAATACACCGGTGGTCCTTTTGATTTTATTCGTTTTTTTTTTTATTTTGACAGAAGGAGTATTTGTACATTGACAGTTGAAGTAGATTTAACAGATTTCTCTTTATTTATCAACTATATGGAAGCTCGTCTTGGTTCAAAACTTCAAATCCAATTTCCCACAGCGTAATTATTATTCCCTTTACTGCCCACTTTGTTATTTCAATAACTACACTGAAATTGAAAGATCCAAGTACAGCTTGCGTTTCTCTAATGAGAACTTTTTAATTAAAAAGGGGCATGGGGAACTGAGGCTGATTTATATTTGAAGTTTATTCCAGCCAGTAATGCCCATATACAACTCAAAGCAGTAATTACAGCTTAATATTGTACTAGTTTACACATCCAGCTTTATTAATGTACTGTTGGTATTACTGTTGAATAATTTGAACTATTCCCACATTTTACACTGATCTAGTGACACTTAAACTATATTTTTGTGCAAAAAACGTGTCATTTTAAAATGCGTATAATTTAAAAATATGCCAGAAGAAAATGTATTATAAACGGTATACAGGGTGTTTCAGAAAGACCTCCCATAAATAGAGGGGGGTGATAGTACGACAAAAAATAATTTTTTTTTATCTTATGAACTATATGTCTATCTCCTCTTGTTTTTGAGATACAGAGCGACAAAATAAAATTTTTTACATAGAATATTTACAAAAATTTAGAAATGGTGTGAAATATTTTTATGAAATTTCGTATTCCGGGGTTTTTAAGGATGCCAAATACGCTCGATATTTCATAGAGGGTGCTAGTTATGCTACCTTCCTATTACATTGTAACTTCTAATTTTTTTACGATTAGGTTTTTTACCATTCAGGCTCCAATTTCTAATTTACAATTTTATTTTATAAAAATAATGTACTCTTGTTAACACTTCCTAATGTATACGGTTTTCGAGAAAAAAAGGCTTTTAATTAAACTCGTACAATATTACGGTGTATAAAATAAGTGACTTTTCTCAAAGTAGGCTTATGTCAAAACTTATTGATGGATGTCTCATAAACAACGCATACATTCTTGGTAATATTTTAAATTCTATACTTTACTTTACTAAACCTTATATCAAAATTTTAGTGACTGTAATTGTACTCTACTATAACGGGAGGTCTTTCTGAAACATCCTGTATAACCCATGTAGGACAAATTACAAAGTTGAAGTTTATTTCGCCATAGCAGTTAACAAAATGTTGTTATAATACATGTTTTCAGATTTATGTTATACAGGGTGTTTCAAAAAACGTTCCGCTAATTTCTAGGGTAAATAGAATATTAAAAAATAATGTTAGTTTGATTAATAAACATGTGTCCGAAAGTGCCTCCTTCAGAAGATACGGCTCTGTAAAAGGGGCCCCAAAAATTCTTTTTTTTTAATTATCTCTGAGACGGTTTAAGATAGCTAAATGAAATTTAGACCACAAATAGGTTTGATTAGGTCTTGAAAGTTACTGCTGACAAACTTTTAATATTTTAATATTAATTAATTTATACTTGTTGTTTCTGAAACAGTCATTATTCCCTGCGTTTATTTATTATCATTATTTTATTTTTATTAATTCGGTCAGTATTACTTGCTAAAACCTCAAATAACTCCAAAACCGGTAATTTTTTTGACTTTAAGCAAGAGTACCTTTTTTATGGCAAATTGTTAAAAAAATTTTATTTTTTACCAAAATATTAAAAATGTCCCCGTAAAAAAAAGTTTGGGGGCAAAATAAGTGGCACCCCCCCTCCAGGGATGGTCCTGTACAAAATATTAAAAGTTTGCAAACCTATTTGTGGTCTAAATTTCATTTAGCTATTTTAAACCGTCTCAGAGATAAATAAAAAAAAAGAATTTTTGGGGCCCCTTTTACAGAGCCGTATCTTCTGAAGGAGGCATTTTCGGACACATGTTTATTAACCAAACTAACATTATTTTTTAATATTCTATTTACCCTAGAAATTAGCGGAACGTTTTTTGAAACACCCTGTATATTCGTAAAATTCGAGGGCGCTTATTAACCTAGTATTTAACGCATTTTTAATCCGTATTGAAAGACAACGAATCTGAGTTTTTAGTATTATGTTCAATTAATTATTCAGTTTGTAATACGTATACCTTATTGTGTGACTTATTGTTTTTTCAAAGAGTAGTATGACACCAACCTATTTAAAATGACTGTACGGCTAAAAAAAACATCACTCACCCGTCCATAACACTTTGTTAATAAAGTTGGGATCCACTGCACATTGATTTTGAAGCTAATTGCAAAATTCGAGACGACTGAGGAAATCAGCTGTTTGGCTTCAACGTTCGCCTTATTTGGCCTTCCAAATACGTGGTTAAAATTAATGACGTTATGACTGAATCACCCTGTATATTGATGGTATTTTTAAAAATCTTTCTCAAAGAAACAAGTTCTAAAAGATCAAAGGAAATTTCCCCTTTATGTTACATTTCTTACCCCTTGCTTTCCGCCATTTCCCTAAAAAAATCGTTTAACGAATCAACCCCCTCGCTCAAAATTAACGGAATAATTTAATAAAATCCCGGGAAACGATCCCTTAATTTGCCAAAATGAGACATTAGCCCATTTTACGTAGAGATTAGGGGCGACTGACCTCTTGATTCGTAAGTGCGGCGGAATTTTCTGGTAGGGTAGTATTATTGTGTTCGCGAGCAACAGTTTGGAGCGACGTGTTCATTAATTTCCCTAAAAGGATGACGCCGTCATATTTTCCGAATAATTATGGCCGTGCACGCTATTTTGAACACACACACAAACAATCGATACGCTGCTGCCGCAGGTGGGTAATTTGAATCGTAAAAATGATATTTGGCTTGATGTGTTTCTGCATAACGTGTAATGAATAACGAAGGAAATGGATCACGAAACAAACTGAAAATGGATTACAAAACTTGCTCCATTATGCGTATTTTTTTATTTAGTACCCTGTATGCTGTGTAGAAATTGATCTTAGGAGAAAAAATAATAAACTCTAACAATAGACTTATGTCTCTGTTAGTTGTTCGGAGAATCTCATTAAATCCATTGTAAAGACGGCGTGCAATAAAACCGAACTTTGTCTACGACATATCTGCCTCAAATCCAATATCGGAACGTGCACTAACTTTATTACAGCTCGGTAATGAAATATCGGTTTGGAAATAAAGCGACAATCCATAGTTTGTAATCTGCTCGGAAAGGTCCCCGTGCGATTGGGCCGTCCCGTTCTAGCTTTATAAAGTCTTTGTCAAAGCCTCCTTCGCGTTTCCGCGTCGAGACTCTAATTGCCGTCTCTGTAACGAGGAAAATTTAATAATTTTAAGTTTATTTAGGACAAGGGCACGTGAACAGAGCAGTCGATTATACGGGGTGTAGCTTTAAGTGGGAGTCAATTTTTTACGGCCTCCGCTGTTCAGTTAAAATTCTGTATTGCAACTCTCTGAAAAACAGCCACTGCCACTTGACTTCACACCTGGTATGATACGATGGGATGGTAAACGGTTAAAAAATAAACAGCTACGTTAATTCGGCGACACTGGTATGGCCATCACTGCTTTATTCTGGTACATTATTTATTTATTACAAATTTTTTTTCTTCGGTGTTTATTTTACCACGTATTCACCTTTTCGCTAAACATTCGTCTGTTTGAAATAAACGCGCTTCGAACGGTGTCCATAAATATTGACGTAAATGATGGAAAACTCATAAACTCGCATCCAGAGGCCTTAAACGAGGTATGATTTAAAAGATCGCGGGGATGGAGTAATAAAACTGCTCCGGGATCTGTCCCGAATTCAGAATCCAATCCGGTTTTCGTGTTTGCCCTCAAAAGCGACGGCATCGTAATATCTTTATGCAGTTAATGTAAATTTGGGGAGGAGGGGCCGTTTCTTTCTTGCCGCGTTTCGTTTCTATGTAGCAGACGTAAATAGGGGCAAATGCAATATTTAAGAGCGATATTAGATTTTGATTAAACTCGTAAATTCGTATTTTGAACACGTTTTAATATGAAGAATTAGTTCGCAGCAATTTTAATTTTTTTTTTAAGGGCAGAAGGTAGATACGTATTTCTATATTTTGAAGATTTTTCTGATTTAATCAAAATCTATAGCAGACATCAAGTTTCGCAGACGACTAAAAAATCTAAAAATATTAAATAAAATAATCATAGGCGTACGAATAAAACAGTTATAGGATATTATATAATACATCCTAATATACGGACTCAAAACCACCAAGTTGGTAATTGTTAACATCAGTTCTTGTCGCAACACCGCTCGAGGAGTGCAGATTATTAAGACTATAATTAATCAAGTTGGCGAAAGTTATACAACTCCTGAGAAAATTCGAGCCGGTTCCTCCCTGTTCCGATCTTAATTGCTTCCAAGTCAAATTGAACTAATCGTTTGTGCGTTTTGGCGGTGTGCAAACTACAGAACTACAGGGAGCGTCGCGGTTTGAGAATAAAGTTCAGAATTTTAAACGAAATATAACCAATATAAAAAAAAATGTGAGGATTTCGATACACACTCGGGACCGTTAAAATCGAAATACCTAAAATTGTTCCTATATTTGATAAATTACATTTCTAAATTCTAAAATAATTTGGGAAATTTTATAATAACCATAATAACAAAACAACATCTATTAATATACAGGGTGCCCCGGTACTTGATACAAAAAAGTCAAGTACAAATAGATGAGATCAAAATAATATCAGTTCTTCATATATATTTTTTTTCATACAAGTTACGAGCCCTCAAAGGTGAAAATTATTTATTTTGTATGTGATTTATTATTATTCAGTATTTTATTGTATTTCGATTATGACTAGAAGTAGGGTAAAGAAAAAAATGTTATAACCAGGGAGAAATCGGTTACTTACCTTGTGAAGACGAGGCACAGCAAAGTCGCCGAGAGGATGGTGAGCTGTTGAGACAAGGCCGACTGTGACTTTTGCATCGCTCTGTGCAGGTCGTTCTGAAACAAAGATTTCTTGAAACGCCTGATCTATAACAGCAAATAACCAGTATCCCATAAATTTAGTCTATGTAAACGATTTTTTCCATGAATTTTGTTTAAGAAAGTATTAAGATATTATTTTGAAAGCTATTTATGTGAACAGTCGTAATAAAAAAAGCAATTCCTCTTTATGAGAATACGTCAAAATCCCTTTTCTATAGCTTTACCAAAATGGTAAGACTAGCAATAATTGTTTATCTCTGACCGGATTTTGTGTGAAAGTTTCAAAGAATCGAAACGGAGTTACGGTAAAAATCGGACCTAATAAAAGCTAATAACGTCTGACTGAAGATCGAGGATTGCGAGCGTAACTTGCCCTCTCTATTTTTCGCCGCAATTTTTTGTGGTTGGTTAATTATCAACGCCCAATTTGAAAGTGCCGCGGTCAGATAAGTTTCTGGGGCCGAATGATAAATGTGTCTGCGTGCAGAATAAAAAAAAATAATGAAAATGGTTATAATTAGGGATCTGCTCAACAATATACAAAGGCAATAAGCGTTAAAGATATGAAAAACATTTTGCTGCTCCCACTATAGTAAATAGAGTATTAATACATTGTTTTTACGGAGGTAAGTGGATTTTACCATAGAAGTGGAAGTTGCTATGGACAACGGGAGGTAAGTGAGGTCACTTACCTCTCTAGGGAAAAAAACGATTTCGAGTTATAAATGAACAAATAAATAGAAATATTTGATGAACATTACATTTTATTCAATATTATGAATGAATATTTATAGTAATTGTACAGTTATTACATTTAGTAATATTTATAAAATCTGCATAATTATTCCCCTCGCGTTTACTAATTGTCACATTTTTCTCAAAATGATTTGACCGCTCCATTTCAGTCACCGGAGGCTCAATAATATCTGACTGTTCCGACGTACTACTAGAACCTGGAGTTGAAGTGTCATTGTAAAGAATGCTGTTGACTATTTCATTTTTGTTACTTAAATTGTCAACAACATAACTTTCTACAATTGTGGCTGATTTCCACCCACCATGTCTCTCGATTGCTAATACATCAACTCCTGTATTAGCCAGTAACGTTGCCGATGTTCTTCGGAATGAATGACCTGTATATGTTTCAGGATGTTCTAGTTTCAAAAACTGTGCAATTTTATTAGGGGCATTCTTCCCAACTCGACTGGTTGGTTGTAACATCTACCTGCTTGATAGCGCATAAAAATGCTTGAAATTTCAGTTTTAATTTTCAATCTAATCTTGATATATTTCTTGAGAACTTCTAAGTTAGAAAAAGAATCCAGACGAGAAGTAATTGTAAATGTTCGTGACATACCATTTTTAGAATCTGGACTTGTTACTACAATAATGTCATCGAAATTTTTAAAATTGACGTTGTCCAAAGTAAGTTTGCATAACTCATCAGAACGGCATGCTGCTGCAATGCTTAAGACTGTCACTACCTTCATTAGCAAATATGTGTTATCGGGTGCCTGAACGAGAAAATCGTTGACCTGTTATCTTATAAAAACGTTTAACTTTTTAGGTGTATAGCCGTTACTTTTACGTTTCAAAAATGCTCTCAGCTTGGGGTATTTTGATATATCCACGTTCTCCTCTATGAAAATAGTCGACTTAATCATTGAATATTCATTCCACAAACTCGCCGGTGACTTTAAAGTTCTTGACTTCTCCATGAAATATGCTAGCAGTGACATTTCAGAAACACCAGTATTTTTGTTTTGGCACCATTCTCTGAAATTTATATATGCTTGTCCGCAGCGCACTTTCGACTTCTCGGGCAATAAAAATTTGCAGGCAGCATTTGCTGCACTTTCTATTTGAAAACCACTCATTTAGAAATGATAATTCAAAACCAGCAAAATTGCAACTTTTATGTAGCTTTGTTTGTAAACACCTTAGAAACGATGAAATCCAAACAACCAAGGCGACTTTGCAAGATTTCGAATAATGTCAAAATGAATTAATTAAGAAATGTCAAAAAATAAAACCTAATCTTTACTTCACGAACCATAAAGAACTGTGGATTTACCAGTCACGGACTCGGACTCTATTGCCAGCCCTCGCTCCGCTCGGGCGCAAAATCGTCCTCGACTAGTAAATAATACTTATCTACCTCCTTTATGGTGTAAATAACTATTGCTAATTAGATAAGTTTATGTCAATCCAGTTTTTTGTATTAATCGAAACCTATATAGTAGGCATATTCAGGTTAAGCAAAGGAATGTTACCACATCTTTTGTGATACAAATTTATTTATTCGCAACTAAAAAAAATGTTGTGTAAACGAATCGAACTCTCGCATATGCAATTTATAAGGTGATGTAGGTGTGTTGGTTTTTGTTTGTTGTAGAAGCTATCAAAATGTCAGCGTTCAGGCAGCATTGGGATTTATTTATGATACACATTACTCCTGTTAAAATGTCACGCTCGATTTGTGGCAATTTTTACGAATAATGTTTCCCGTATATTTTACGTTTTACGTTCATGCATTTTACACAAATGTTTACAGGTGTAATATGGCGTGGTTTTCTGCTTTTTTATAATCCTGTTTTCAAGAGATTTGTCTAAAATATGTGGGTAATACGTATTCTCATTTTTTATTTTCGCAACTTATAAACTATAATACAGGGTGTACCAAAATTCACGCAAGATTTGAATTTTGCGCCATGTGCATGTTAAAGTATTGCCAACGAAAAAAAAATACAGCGTGACAGATGACAATTCAAGGTTATTAAAAATGAAGCGCTATATGAAAGAGCAACGCGGTTTCATTGTTTCATTGTTGAGAGATATTTTAAAAGTAATATAAAGAACTTTCGGCAGCTAGATTCCACAATTTTCGTACAAAATATGGTCGGAATAGTAACTTAACTTCATCAACTGTGAAGAGATTACCTGAAAAATTCAGGGAGACCGAATCAATTAGTGATCTTAAACACGTCCTTCAAGTAGTTCAACACAAAACATCGAAGCAGTTCGAGAGAGTGTTGCTGAGAGTCATGGAACATCAATTCGACACCGTGGTCAAGAATTGGACATTTCGAGAAGTTGGAACATCAATTCGACACCGTGGTCAAGAATTGGACATTTCTAGAACTTGTCTGCAGTGTATTCTCACAAAAGATTGTCTTCTCTCAAAATTACTTCTTGCGTAAATTTTTTGTTACCCTTTACTTATTAAAAATACCTTTAACTACATATTTACAAAAAAAATTACACTTGTTTTCACGCAACTTTCGAGTTTCTCTAGAGGCAACTCAAATTAATCCCCGTCATTACCAAACATCTATACGGTTTCATCGTTGTTTAACGACCATAACTAACACTTTCTCCGTTTGTAAACTTACTGTGAAACACGTTTAGAATTTTCGTACTTTGCTCGCCGAGATTGCAAGGTTTCCGGGAGGGATGGAAAGCCGATATTTCCTTGGCATTGCTGCGGTGCCAAAAGTTTCCCCCACGTGCTATACCCCGAGGAACGAATTCGTCTTAACCCGTAGTTTGGACGGGTTATCACTCATCAGGAGTGCAACTTCCGAGGTTTGCAATTTTGTTCTATCTGAATTAAAGGAGGATAAAAATCAAACATGTCTTCAAAACTTCAACTTTTTTTAAGCACCTTTTTAATTACGTTTAATTTGTTTCACAAAAAAATTTGGAAGCATACCGTCGTAAAATTCTAGCTTTAAACGGGAGAAAATTTTATTGGCCATTTTAGTGACAGCAAATTTTTTAATTCTGCGCCAGAATGAATGCGACGCCACACGACAATCAATACCGTCGGTTATACGACATCAGACGGCTCCAGCATATGGATGTGCACAAGACGCTGAAATATGTTTCTGTTCCACAACGACGAGACGCGACGTAGCCAGTCTCGCGGTAATGTATGGATTATGTGTGGAATATCTCGATTTCCCGAGTTCCCGTGGGGAAGTCTAGAATGCATTCCCTTAATAGCAGAGAGAACAAAACCGATACGGAGCATTAAGGGAAGGTCTGCACTCTTACAAATAAAACATTTCCATGAAAGATACTGCTCGGGTTGCTCATTTTAGTTTGAAACTGGGCTGAGATTACTTTTCTAGGTTATGCTCTAAGAGTTACACTAAGAAAAAGGATCATTCCCAGAAGTGAAATTTGTTTTAATTATATCTGCCGATAAATGTATTTATCGCACACATCATTGTCAGTATTTTGATCTTTTCGATTGGATTCAGTGGCCTTGAATAGAGAAACGGCGATCAAAGCCGTCTTAACAATTTCTTATTAATACAAGCAAGTGTATTCAATTAATAATGACCTCGCCATTTCCTGATTTGAACACTGCAAAAAATGCATATTAGTAAACTAAGTTCGAATAAATTAACGATGATTTTCTTTCATGGTACATCGATCTGTTTGTGTACACCCTACACCGAAATTTGTGAACTAATCAAACTTTAGTCAAATTGGAATATTAATAGGCGAGGTCCTAGCTTTTAATAATTAATTTAAATTCAGCTCTGTGCCTATTTTGCGCGGGTTTCCACGTTATAGGCGTGCAAATTGGCTTAGTGTAATCATAAGGTGGGTTCGGTATGTCCCTTCTATATGCTGTACTATTCATGAGTTCGTAAAACTGAAAATTGCACTAGGAACGACAAAGGGACAATTTCTAATGAATTTTAAGGTATTGCCGGTCACAAAGGCGATGGAAAAAGGTTGTTTGAAACAGACGTTTAAACTGAAACGCCATGCGCAATTTCTAAGTGACTAGAACATTGTTTATTAAATAGACTTTCAAAAGTTCATTTTATTTGTCTCAACTTTTTTAAATTACCTTTGAAGTTTATCCATAAACAAATATAAGTTACTCCTTAAAGAAATTCTTCACGTAAACTAGTATTTGATGCATTTATACCTAAATCAGAATAAATGTCCTCATCACTGAGTGATTCCACCGTTTTTCATGTCCAGATGCATTGTCTTTGTCTGCTCCCATCGTCCCATTAGGTTATCTCGTGGCGTGGTGGATGGCAGTGTGGCGTATGGTGTGCTTTGGAGTTGGACAAGTATCGATTTATCTGGTTATTCTAGTGAAAATTGTATTTAAATGCAATGATTTAATTGCAGTAAATTAAAGACAATATATTAAATCTCGATTAATACTTGGTTAAATAAAAAGTTCGGTTATTTTCTGAACAGACCTCCTATCGCAGTAAGAAAACAAGCAAATGCGATATTTTATATTTCAATTTCAAACTAAAATGTTTTCCATCGCCTCAAAGCCTTCTTTGATATATATCTAAGTCTTACCTCTTTTTTTTATAGCTACTTCTCGGAAAGTTTTATTCCGTACGTCCTTTAAACTGTATTCGCTCCTGTATCCGGCATATGTTTATTTATTATCTCGGTATTTCCGCTACGACATCGAATAATATACGTTTCGACCGAGCAAAGGACAAATAGAAAGCGGCAAGCCAACGACGAATGTCGGGGGAATAAAATGGAAATACACGAAACGATTTCCTAGGGAAACAGTAATTCGGAAATCGATTTCATTTATATTTTGTGCCAGCAGTTAGTTTCCCATTCAAAATTTATTTAAATTTCGCTTTGTATTTTTTACCTAAAATCGCAGAGAGTTAAAATTTCGAGGGTGTTTTGAATAGTAGTAACGACTTTTCGCATAAAACGGAGATTTTACTTATTAATGCAAATAAATTGAACTCGAAGCGCAAATGGCTCCGTCTGTCGTGCTGACTTCCCACTATGCCATTCAAATGGCTACTTCGGTAGGAAGCGACCTGCTAAAATTTGCCAGGTACTTTGGTGCACGACTATCGCCTAGAAGGCGAAAAAACATTTTTAAATTGCCAGTGTTGCGAGAAACAACTACTCCGCGGGCTATATGCCCCGATCGGCATTGAATTACACTCGCAACACCTAGTGCAACAAGCTGGGATCACTCGTCAGTCTAACCCACTAGGCACAGACCGGTTTCGGATTTATTAGTCCTCATCAGTGTGTCATAGGTGAGACAACCGACGAACGATCAAGCTGTTATAGTGCCGCATACTAACGACAAAGAGGTACATAGTACGCGAAGCGCAAATGGCTCCATCTGTCGTGCTGACTTCCCATTATGCCATTCAAATGGGTACTATACTATACTATGGGCATATAGCCCGCGGAGTAGTTGTTTCTCGCAACACTGGCAATTTAAAAATGTTTTTTCGCCTTCTAGTCGATAGTCGTGCACCAAAGTACTTGGCAAATTTTAGCAGGTCGCTTCATACCGTAGTAGCCATTTGAATGGCATAGTGGAAAGTCAGCACGACAGATGGAGCCATTTGCGCTTCGCGTACTATGTACCTCTTTGTCGTTAAATGTCATTAAGAATAAATATAAATCAATCGATTTTCGTTGCTCCCGCGTGATGTCGAGGAGTTATAAATAATAATAAAATATTAATAGTCGCTTTTATACCAGATTTGCCTTTGGGCTGTTATTTAAGAATAAACTCAGGATGTAAAGTTCGAAGAACGCAACTGACGCAGTGGATAAATCGACCCAGTTTCCTTTCTCGGTTGCCAATTAACTCAGTTTAAAAATTTTAAAACGCCTCAAGTTATTTTTCCGATCTATTAACTCCAAATGAAAACTTCCCATAGAGTTAGTTACCAGCAAACTTTATACTACAACTCATCATAATGGCAGTATATCGACTGGAAACTTCATTGGTTTATGATCCAACCGAACCAGGCAAGTTCCGAAGCAAAACGGCCAAAACGAGGTAACTCGCTATTGGAACTATTAAAAACCATTAGCGATTTCAGTTCGTGGAACCTCTAAGTAACTTTGAATTCCACGAACTTCGACGTCTGCGCCCGGTTTTAATGAGACGGGTCTTCTTATCCGTCTCGCGCTACGTGACGGGATTTGCACCGGTTTAGAGGGATCTTGATAACATTTTTCAATAAAATAGGGAGGAGGCTCTCTGTGGAAACGTGATCGTGTTACGCCCCTCTTAACTGAGATAGTCCCGTAAGCCTTTTGCAAACTTGGGGGAGGAATTGAAAAAGTACGTTTTTACTGTCCCACACAAAAGCGCAATTCTTCGGCTGATCGATAGTTCACAGAGTAGTTGTTTTTAAAATGTTAAAATAAATGTATTTGCAATTCAAAGCCTATGTTTGCACACAGAAAAGCTACAGGGATTAATATTTTGCAGCAAAATTTTGTGATTTTGTACTAGACCCATCGAAGTTAAAAAACAATGGTGTTAAAACAAAGGTGACGTCATTTGGCGGAACGTAAGAGATAAGGGTCGACTATTAATGAACTTTTTATTAAAAAAAAAATTTAAAATTACCCTAAATAAACTTCTGGACATATTTCGGTTCCGGCTCAAAAAAAATAGCTACGAAAATGCATATTTAATGGAGAGCCTGAAAATACTGCGCTTGATAAAGCTTTAAAAACGTACAAGTACGTGAAAAGCGGCCCCAAACTGCAAAGGGGCTCGCTGCAGGGCCATAAATAATTGGACAGAGAGGAAGGCGAGTTGGTAATACTTACAAACATGTTTTCCAGCGCCTGCTTCGCCAGCCAACAATTTAAGAATACTGGAATGAACAGGTTCCTCAGCGGAGGGTAGAAGAGCTGAAACGGAGAGTCAAAAATTAAATTACACCTCCGGCATTATGAAAACTTAATACTGGCCGCTCGTAACGCAATATATTGCGCAAAGTTTCGCCGGTTCGGCCAATATTTTTATCAGGGTTGTGGAAATTGTTTTTTATAATATCCGGCAGGCGCGGATGGTGTTATTGTTTCCAAATTTACTAGGGAAGCAAAATAAAATAAGGGCTGTGCTATATGAGTGTAATAAAAACATTAGTTTTAATATTTAGGTGCACTTAGTAATGGTTTTACTTCACTTGTTAATTGTAGTTCCGAGGTGCATTAGCAACACCTGCGGAAGAATGTGTTATTTCGATAAAAGAAGTACTTACTGTTAAGGTAAATGGAATTGTGTTGACTATTTCTAAGATGAAATGGAAGGAGAGCAGCTGCTGCCAAATGTTACCCTGGAACAATAATTACAGTCGTTATTCTAACTGTGGCATCATAAGTCTCGTAGTATCCTAGTGTAACAGAGTTTTTTAGCTGAACAATTGCTTCAAGCTGGTACTAAATCTAAAACATATCCCAAAATTTATATAAGAACAATGAACAACAATGAAAACGCGTTGTTCTTTTTAATAACCCAGAACTGTTAGCTGTCACGCTGTTTTTTATTTTCGTCGGCAACACTTTATCGCACAAATGGCGCCAAATTCAAATTTCGCGTGAATTTTAAAACACCCGATATTTTCAGATGTCTTCTTAATTATCTCTTCCGTTCACCACTTATAAGCTGTTTCTTTGAAATAACAAGAAAATATAATGGTCTTTACCATTTGCTGCTAAATAAAAAACGAATAATATTAAAGGGCAACATGTTATGTCGATGACCCTGTATACAAACTTTATGAGCACCCTGTGTGGCACAGTGTTGTGGCGATAGGTACTAACGGAAACACACTGAAATCCGCGACAAAAGTAAAGAACCCTTAGTTAGACAAATAAACAGATACACCGTGTCCACCTAGTGCGCGTAGGTCCAATATCTAGGTTAATAAAAGTTTTAACTTAATTTTTTTTCTACAGAGTTGCCTACTTTCCCGAGCTGCACAAAATGAAAATATATTTGCATATACAGGGTGTTCTGTTTTTCCTGGGCAGGTACCAACTTATTTTTTTTTAATGGAAACTTATTTTTTATGGCATTATCGAATTCTACGTGAAAAATTAACGGGACTTTGTGTTATGATCACTATTAAAATATTGATAGTTTTCGAGATAATCGACTTTTTTTTTCTTATGTTTCGTCACTTCTACTAGTTGACATAATTATGATTGTATGACAGCTAGAAATAATTTTTTTCAGGAACTGTAGAGTGAAGATGGCTCTTTCAAAAAACGTATCAAAAGTTGACCTGCGATACACAAGGGGCAAAAAAAATCGTGCCAAGCCTGAAAATTTAAAATTTGAAAAATCTCGACTTTTTCAAATGTGTTTTATTATAATTTCATTAGATGCCTTTCTGTAGACCCTACAATTTTTTAATAGCTAAGTTGCGTAGTTTTTCAAAAAACACATTTTTATGTAAAATACCGGATTTTCGCCCGTTCCTTTGTCGGGAAAAATATTGTAAGGGTATTTATTTTAAGTTAGCTTGTAACTATGAGTATTCAAAATTCTATTCATCCAATTTTTTTAATCTCCAATTTCACTAATAACTTTCCTAACTACGGTAACAGTGCTTCATTTTCAATATGATACGGATGAAACTTCTTCTTCGATATTTTATTTGTCAAGCTTTTGAAAACTCCAAGATTACTACTAATTTCCTGGCACTAATATTTGGATTTTCAACAGCAAACGCCACAACTTTAAACTAAATATTATCGTTGTTACTTTCATTTCTCCTGGTAGTTTTCTCATAATTCGCATTTGCTGTTCATTCAAACCTTTCCTTCACATTTTCAAAACAGTGGGAATCTCTGTAAATTTGGATTATTTGCTTTGTAAATACGTGCTGCTAGCAAACATTTCCCATATTTTGCTAATTCTTAATCACTTGTAGCGATTTTATGGTTTTTTTGTTTTTATTTACAAATAAATGGTAACTTTCCATAAAGACTTATTTATTAAACTCAAATATCTAAATTTTTCCAGTTATTAATTTTTATTTTAAATAGTGTAGCAAGACAACTAATAAATTTAATAAAAATAAATACCCTTACAATATTTTTCCCGATAAAGGAACGGGCGCAAATTACATAAAAATGTTTTTTTTGCAAAAACTACGCAACTTAGGTATAGGGAAAGCTATTAAAAAATTGTAGGGTCTACAGAAAGGCATCTAATAAAATCATAAAACACAGGGTGTTCTATTTGAAAAAGTCGAGATTTTTCAAATTTTAAATTATGAGATTTGGCACGTTTTTTTTTGCCCCCTGTATACCGCAGGCCAACTTTTGATACGTTTTTTGAAAGAGCCATCTTCACTCTACAGTTCTTGAAAAAAAATAATTTCTAGCTGTCATACAAACAATCATAATTATGTCAACTACTAGAATATTTTAATAGTATAGTAATAGTTTAATAGTATATTTAATAGTAACACAAAGTCCCGTTAATTTTTCACGTAGAATTCGATAATGTCATAAAAAATATAGGTTTCCATTTAAAAAAATTAAGTTGGTACCTGCCCAGGAAATGCAAATATATTTTCATTTTGTGCAGCTCGGGAATGTAGGCAACTCTGTAGAAAAAAAAATTAAGTTATATCTTTTATTAACGTAGATATTGGACTTACGCGCACTAGATGGACACAGTGTATATCAAGTGAGGGGAACACTGTAAAGAAAATGATTTACGTCAAAGGCCTCGATAAATCGCTGTTGAGGGTACATCCCGAATATTGCAATTAGAATTCCTGTCGTCCTAAAAAAAATTTACGGCCCTTCAGTTTTACGCTCTACGAGAAATTTTAATAATTCATAACACGGGATTCATTATCACGTTCGGTTTGTCGCTATGATCTCAGTAAACGAAGACATCAAAGGTGGATCGTTACGGCTCCTTTATGAAAAAGGGTCTGGCATACAGGATGTTTGGTTTAAATCTAGAAAACGTAAATGAGAATAAAAACAGTGTTTGCTATTATTATTACTCCTATGTTAAATAAATACTTTTCACAACAAAACTTTCAGAACAAAAACTTTTTTTTCTGAGACTTTACCCACTACTAAATTTAACGAGGCAAAAAGGATTACAAGAAAGTCCTTCTTAATAAACAAAGTTTCCTGTGAGCTTACCGTCCCTTGGGGAACCTTCCAAACGAATTTTTTATCTCGGGGACTACATCAAAATACAACACAAATAGTCTACAACGAAACCCCGGGGGTACAATAGGCGGCATTAAGAGTTTTAACGTCTCGCGGGCAAAGACCCAGCAGGAGGAAATGCGTTCCGAATTTGCATTTGCCTAACACCTGCTGTACAAGAGAGTCTACAATTCATTGTATCTTCCCTTACCGGGATATCGGTTATGAATGATTATTTCCCTGTATTTTTCAATGGAATGTAGTTGAACAGGCCAGTCGAACTCAAGATGGCTTTTTTTAAATCAAAATCAAAAGAAATCAGAAGTGGGATAGAAATATGTTGTTGAAAGGGAAATAGAAATTTTTGCAAAACCATATTTCTTCTACAAAAGTGGTTACATTAAGAAAACAAGAAGAGGACTGTATTTATTCTAAAATTACACCCTCAAGTATATAATACGAAAGATATAAATCGCTGGTCTAAGCGAAAATGCAGTATTTGAGGAGAATAGTCGTCCTAAACATTCTGTTAATATCCAGAGGCTAGAATCTATAAAACGGAGAAATGTACGCCGCCAACCTTCCTTTATGCATGAAATAAAACCCTTACGCTCTCAAAAGGACGGGAAATAAAAGCCGTAAATTCGTCGATTCGAATAATAAAATAAGATTTCCTTTTGTTCGTTCAAATCACGGAACAACGAGTCGTCGTGTGCTTCGGTATTATACACAGGGTGTAAGAAAAGTTGGATGCTGCTAGTAGCGCCAAAGCCGTAGCCAAACTAAACACCCTGTACCTTGCACAATCAAATGCACTTTTGACAGTCAACTTTTTTTTAATGATACTGCTTGGTAATACGTTATATTTTTGTACTAAATATTACTAGAAAAAAAAAAAAAAAACAAAAATCGTCAATATTTACTATCACCGAAATTGTTACACAAATTACCTAAATGTCTTCGGCGACAGACAGGCAACGAATTATTTTAACCTTTATTAATGCGTGTGACCATTCTCAAATCCCATTTGCCTTTTCGTGTCCCTTCAACAAGTATTTATCGATCCCCACGACTGACATGCGATGTTTTGTTTTGTCATTCTCCAGGACTGCGGCAGTCGGTATTCGGTTACGTAAAAATTAAAACAATCGATACGTGCGTCTGTAAACCATAACACTAACCCAATTTTTTACGAGTCGCCGCAGTGCTCGGTCATTCGAAAGGGGGTTGTTTTTATTGAGATGTATAATGGGATCGGTGCATGTATATAAAAAGAGATGTGTTACTATAAATATCTGAAAAATGACCTCGTTTTTTTTTTATTTATTTGAGCTGAATACCATAATAAAACGTATCGCATAAATAAATATTTTCTGAATCTACAGAACAATAAACCTCATACTGGTATGTGAGCAGTGTTTTAAATTTATCGTCAGTTCTGCCAACTCAACCAAAAATTCGTTAAGTTGTTGACAAAAACGAAACCACCACAACTCCCTACATTTCTGACATATATTCCGAAAGACGAAATTAATTTTCAAATTCATTATATCCTTATTCCGGTTAAGGATCCGTCGATACCGAACGCAGACAGGACTAGTTTCTTAACTCATCAATTCATCATTTTCCGGGCGACTTGCCATCGTCCCCAGTCGCGAGCCCTGAGAACGAAAAAGAAGCGAATTAAACTAAGCGGCGGAAATTTCGCAGTTGGTGGCATCCTTTACCCATGAATTGAGCCATAAGTAGGCCGGCGCATCGACCACTTTTATATCAGTTTAGCCGTGAGAAGTTTTTTGTTTTGTTTTTGATGCACCAGACCATTGAGATAGCGTCTTTATTTAAAGAACCAAACAGGCGTTTCAATCGCTTTTTTTTTACTTAAAACAATTTTTAAACGGAGTGAAGAAAAAAGTGTAGGAATAAAAGTTGCAGGAGCGGAAACAATTTACGTTCCGCTAATAAGAGTCCGATCCGTTAAAAGTTCTTGAATATACTGTCGTATTCCATGTCCCGAGCGATATTAAAAATTCACGCATCTTTCCATTCGGAACCGCGAAGCAATAAAAATTCATTCTACGCAGGGCCGATCGCGATTCACATCCCGAGGGACTGCGTCTGCCAAGCGAAGCAGAAGGCGCGGCATTAACAT